CTCTGACCCTCTGTGTCCCCATGTCTCCTGACATTCCCTTTGTTCCTGTCCCCACTTCTCCTGGCTCTCTCAAATACCTGGCTCTCCCTGTATCCCTGACTGTCCTGCTGTCACCATCCCCAGTGCCCCCATGGACACCCACCTGCTCAGCAACATCCAGAAGCTCTTCTCCGAGCGCATTGACATCTTCAGCCCTGTTGAGTTCAACAAGGTGAGGCCACAGGGACATCACCATGTCCCCAAATGTCTGCAAGGTCCCCCATGGTCTTTGTTTCCCTGGGGTCCCTAAACTGCCCACCTTCCCGGCTGCCACATGTCCCTGGTGTCCCTGTGACCTGGGTGTTGGGGCCCAGGGGGGCCGCAGGAGCTGATGACCAGGAGAGGAGTGCTCCCCCTGTCCCCTGGGGCTCCCCTGTCCTAGTGTCAGGACTGGGGGTCCCTGCAGCTGATGACATGAGGGTGTCCCCATGTTCCTGTGCTGACTTGACTCAGGGCCTCCCTGTGCTCCCAACAGCCAGGCCAAGGGTGTCCCCATGTCCCAGTGTCCCATGTGTCCAGGCTCAGGGGGTCCTTGGGAGCAGCAGCCAGTCCCACCCTGTCCCCGTGTTGGTGGGACGTGGGGCTCTCTGCATTGGGAGAATCCAGGCCAAAGGAACCCCCGTGCCACGTGTCCCCAGTGTCCCCACATCCCATATGTCAGGACTCGGGGGATCCCTGGGGATGTGACCAGGATGAGGGTATCCTAGGAGCTGATGGCCCAGAGAGGGGTGCCCCCAGTGTCCCCACATCCCTGTGCAGGCATTACCTGGGGCCTTCCTGTCCCCCCGTGCCACGTGTCCCCGCTGTCCCCACGCTGCAGGTGTCGGTGCTGACAGGGATCATCAAGATCAGCCTGAAGACGCTGCTGGAGTGCGTGCGGCTGCGGACGCTGGGGCGCTTCGGGCTGCAGCAGGTGCAGGTGGACGGGCACTACCTGCAGCTCTACCTCTGGCGCTTCGCCGCCGACGAGCGCGTGGTGCAGGGGCTGCTGGACGAGGTGGCCGCCAGCGCCGCACACCGCTGCCTCGACCCCGTCCCCATGGAGCACAGCGTCGTCGAGCTCATCTGCGAGCGTGGGTAGGACCTGGGGACACAGGGGGGACACAGCAGCACGTGGCAGAGGGACATGGGACAGCCGTGTCACTGTGGGGCACAGCCCCGTGGGGACATCTCCAGGAGGGTGACATGTCCTGGGTCCTGTTAGATATCTGGGGACAGAGCCCTACCCTCTTGAGTCCCCACACAGACCTGGGGACACTCCATGTGCCCTCCCCCCGACAGCAACACACAAGGATGTCCCATGTCCCCACACACATCAACATGCAGGGACACCCCCTGTCCCCACACCGGGTCACCCCATGTTGTCACCCCCCCCTCAGCCCTGGTAACACCCCACATTGTCCGACCCCAGTGACCCCCTGAGCATGTGCTGACACCCGGTGTTGTCCCCGTGGCCCCAGTGACACACCACCTCATTCTCCCCCTCCCTTGGTGGCACCTCTCACGCCTGGGAACACCCTGGGCACTGCCCCTTTGTCACAGTCGGGGGCAATAAATAAAATATATGTGAGCTGTGCCCTGTGTCCTGTGCCTGGGATGGGGACGGGACAGAACAGGGACAGTGGGGTGTGCAGGGATGAAGGGGGTCACCTGGACACCTGGGTCCCCATGGGGCAGTGGGGAGGGGGCACAAGCACCCTTCTGGTCCCCCCCACCAAACTCTTGCACAAGCACCCTGCGTGCACCCAGGGCCTTGCACGAGCAGGGGGGCTGCTCCCTGCAGACACACGCCCCACACCCAAGCTGTGGGGCCTCCTGAGCATGTAGCCAGGCAGCACAAGAGGTCTCGGTGCCCCAGGGCTGAGGGGGGACAGGGGCAGGGGTGGGGGCTCCTGAGCACTGCCCCCCCAGAAGGTGGTGTTCCCCAGCTCCAGGCTGGGACAGAGGGTCCCCAGGGGTCAGGGGTGGCACCACAGGAGGTTGTGCCCTGAATGAAGTACCCGAGTGGTCCTGTCGGGGACAGGGATGAGTCGGGATGGGACAGAAACGCGTGGACAGCAATGAAACAGCACCCACAAGGTTCTAAGTCCTAAAAGTTGGGGACCAAACCCTTAGTGGGCACTGAACAAAGTGCCGGGTGATGCCTGGGGTCGTTGACTCGAGGCACAGAGTCCTGGGGACACTTACACTGGGAGGTCAGTGTTTGCACAAAACAGACACAACCAGAGGAACCAAACCTCTCATCACTGTCCCAGGACAACTCTGGAAAAGTCACTTCACCTGCCTCTGGGGCATCCAAGTTGAAGCACCTGACCACCAGCAACTCCCCAAACAACCTGGGAGATGGGCAGACGGATGCTCCTGCTGGGCGAGATGAGGAGCACCGAGGGGTCTCACAGACTCAGGGTCCCTGGAGCGGAGAAGCCGGAGCGACGGAAGTGAGAGCTCTGCTCTCCCGCCTCCCTCCAGCGTTGAGACCGGGACAGACCTCCTGTGCCTGGGATGGGGACGGGACAGAACAGGGACAGTGGGGTGTGCAGGGATGAAGGGGGTCACCTGGACACCTGGGTCCCCATGGGGCAGTGGGGAGGGGGCACAAGCACCCTTCTGGTCCCCCCCACCAAACTCTTGCACAAGCACCCTGCGTGCACCCAGGGCCTTGCACGAGCAGGGGGGCTGCTCCCTGCAGACACACGCCCCACACCCAAGCTGTGGGGCCTCCTGAGCATGTAGCCAGGCAGCACAAGAGGTCTCGGTGCCCCAGGGCTGAGGGGGGACAGGGGCAGGGGTGGGGGCTCCTGAGCACTGCCCCCCCAGAAGGTGGTGTTCCCCAGCTCCAGGCTGGGACAGAGGGTCCCCAGGGGTCAGGGGTGGCACCACAGGAGGTTGTGCCCTGAATGAAGTACCCGAGTGGTCCTGTCGGGGACAGGGATGAGAGTCGGGATGGGACAGAAACACGTGGACAGCAATGAGAGAACAGCACCCACAAGGTTCTAAGTCCTAAAAGTTGGGGACCAAACCCTTAGTGGGCACTGAACAAAGTGCTGGGTGATGCCTGGGGTCGTTGACTCGAGGCACAGAGTCCTGGGGACACTTACACTGGGAGGTCGGTGTTTGCACAAAACAGACACGCAGTCACGTCATTTATTTGGTCTCTGCTTCAGTGACTCTATGGGAGTAGCAGATTTCTTTGGGGAAGGTGCTTTGCAGGGATTAACAGCCAGGTGGGGGTCAACAGGCCACAGCTGCACTACGATCCCCAACTCCACCCCAAACTAATGATCTTCTGAGGACATATCCTTCAATTAGAGGAAATGCCAAGTTTAAATAGGCATGTGCCACACACAGCACGGTGGCAAACCCGACAGTCTAATTTTTAATACGGCCATAGAAAACACCTTTTTATACTAATAGAATAAATCCTGTTCTCAACCCCTGGAGTTGACACCAGCCAATCTGTAAGAACATTAATGCAGAGCAGTTGCACATCCTGTTACAGAGCAGCAAGAAAATGGTGAGGGACCAAAGGGTAAGGGTATTAGCTCCAGCCAGCAAGACTCACTGGGGGTTGTAGCTCCCCGCTCTCCAGTGGGGCAGCTGATTACCTTCAGGATCACACAGCAGACCGTTGACTTTCTTTCCTAGATGTCCATGGGCTTTTCTTATTTTTCCCCTCTTTCCTGATCGTAGAATCACAGAATGCTATGGGGTTGGAAGGGACCATCTAGTCCAACCCCCCTGCCAAAGCAGGTCCACCCGGAGCAGGTTGCACAGGAACGTGCCCAGGTGGGTTTGGAATGCAAAATGAATGAAGCAGGAGGGCTGCTTCCTTCCTTTCTTAAATGAAAACCTGAAATTCTGATTTCAGCTATGATGTTGGTGCTTTTGTGGGGAGGTTGTTGTAGATTTAGAAATAGCAGCCCTCAAGCAAACTCAAATATCACCTTAGAGATGGTACCTTGACTGTTCATCAACAAATCACAGATTTGGAGAGATTCTATCACAGCCTATTTTTTTGAGGGTTTCCATGAGATCACACTTTAGGGTTTTTGCTTTCTATTGTGTAGTCCAGGTTTCCAGAAACCCATTTCAGTGCCTTCACTTTCAGCATGTGTTGGTAAGGGGGGAAAGGAGAAGCCGGAGCGACGGAAGTGAGAGCTCTGCTCTCCCGCCTCCCTCCAGCGTTGAGACCGGGACAGACCTCGGGAAAGCCTCACAAGACACAAAGTGCAAGCCCAGAACTCGGCCTTATGGCCTCCAGCTCAGGTCGGGGATCTCCCCTTGCTGGTGGCTGCAGCTACAGCTGCGTCACACATTGATTCACCCCACAGAAAGGCCAGGTTTGGGTGGTTTGTTAAACAAAGTGTGAAAGGGGAGGGTTGAGCCCGGCCGGCAGCTAAAGCCCCACCAGGTGCTCCCTCCCTCCATTCCCCCACAGCAGGAAGGGGGGGAACTGGAAAGGCAACAGCAAGGAGGGCATGAGGTTCGAGATAAAGACTGTTTAATAAGTCCAGGGGAAAAAAAAAAACAGAGGAAAACAAGAAGTGTGACAGCAGCTGCTGACCCCCTCTCACCAGCAGAGCCATGCCAAGCCATCCTCAGGCAATGGCTGCCGTGGAAAGACCCCCCACCCTGTGTGCCCGTGGCGCTAAAGACGGCACCGTGCTGGCTGCGATGGCGCCAACGGGCTGTGCCCCAGCCAGGTCCAGGGCAGGAACCCCCTGTGCCCGCTCCCGACCCTCACCCCTGCAAGGTGCCCGTGAAAAACAGGGCGTTTGACTTCTTGGGAGAAACCTGAGAACGCTCCCGGTCTGTGGCCGGCATCCAGCTTCTCCTGCATCTCCCGGAAAGCACAGGCAGGACCCTCTGCCCATCTCTTCTGCACCCTGGGGAAAGGCCTCTCTGATTTGCACAAACAAAGTCCCAAAAGTGAGTTTTCCACAGCGGTTTTCCTAAACCTCCCCAACTGAGAGCCCCCAACGGCAAATGCTGCCCACAAACACCAGCCCCCACTGGCCCTCCCCGGGGAAAAGCACTCGGAGCTGAAGGGAGAGCTGGAAAAGGAGACACCAAATACAAGTCCCAGGTGTTCAAACATCCGTTCCCATTGTTGTGTGACCCCAACAGCACTGGGACACGCCATGTCCAGAGAGAACGCCAAACTCCCCTCTCTTTTCCCCTCCTTGAACTGATGAGACTGGACGTGCCTGGCCCCACCAGCCATGTGACGTCACCAGCAGCGGTGTGATGTCACAGTGCGTCTCCATGGTGAGCCAAGGCTCTACCCAGGGCCACGGGGCAGTGGGCACCAGTTCCTCCGCTACCCTCTCCCTGCTGCCTTCTCCGCTCTGACACTGCGACCTGCAGCACCCACCGACCGCTTGCACCAGCCCCATGGCTACTGCTGACCGAGGTGAAGCCTCGCTGCTCCTCCTGGGGGGCTCCGCGCCACCAGCGGGGAAACCCCTCAGCAGCTCTCCCGCTCTTGTCCTAGGCTTTGGAGCCACCGGCGAAAGGGATGGACCCTGGGTGGGCACCTGGAGACCCCACCGCCCACGGGGTCCTGTCCTGGCGCAATTCACCAGCCCAGGACCCAAGTACACTGTCCTAGGGACAACAGGTAACAGCACCAGCACAAGGGGGACTGCAGGGCTACCACCTCGGGGGACACTTAACAGCAGCGTTTGGCTGATATTGGGGTTCATGGCACCCGCATCGCCGTTGCTGGAAGCAATCACCCCGTGGGACTGGCCCCTGCTCTCATTCCTGGAGGAAAAAGTCACAGGGGCAGGGAATTCTGGGGGTCGGCAGCTCCCGGGAACTGGCTTTCCAAGGCCCCCGCGGGCAGGGGTCCTCTCACAGCCTTCTCTCCCCAGGGCACCTGGCTCACAACCCCACCAAAGCCAAGGCCCCTGCGTACAGCATCCCTCTGGCCAAGCTGCCCCCGCTCGCCAGCTGCTCCCCGGGACCACGCTACTTTGTGCCCCCCGAGATCACCAGGAAGGGGAAGTACACCTCTCCCTCCCAGCACATCTGCGGGCTCCCGAAGATCAAGACGGAGATCACCCCTGGGCCCAGTGAGTGTCCTTTCTCCAGCACCTCTGCCCGGCAGGGCGAGCACCCCGTCCCTCTGCCCCGCGGCCGGGCTGCAGAGCCCTCGGCTGGCGCCTGCCTGGGCTCCAGCATCTTCTACTCCCCTGATACTTCTCCTCTTCTTCTATTTCTTCTTCTACTCCTCTCCCTCTGTTTTCTTCCTCTCCTCTCCCTCTGCTCCTCCTCCTCTCTTACTTCCTCTCCTCCAGCAAAGCAAAATCACAGAACCAACCTTTACATTTGCACCAATTCAGTTCAGCAACCGTTCAGGGGGTTAATCCTCCTTAACAGCAGCGTTTGGCTGATCTTGGGGTTAATGGCACCCGCATCGCTGTTGCTGGAAGCAATCACCCCATGGGACTGGCCCCTGCTCTCATTCCTGGGAGGAAAAAGTCACGGGGCAGGGAATTTTGGGGGTTGGCAGCTCCTGGGAACTGGCTTTCCAAGGCCCCCGCGGGCAGGGGCCCTCTCACAGCCTTCTCTCCCCAGGGCACCTGGCTCACAACCCCACCAAAGCCAAGGCCCCTGCGTACAGCATCCCTCTGGCCAAGCTGCCCCCGCTCGCCAGCTGCTCCCCGGGACCACGCTACTTTGTGCCCCCCGAGATCACCAGGAAGGGGAAGTACACCTCTCCCTCCCAGCACATCTGCGGGCTCCCGAAGATCAAGACGGAGATCACCCCTGGGCCCAGTGAGTGTCCTTTCTCCAGCACCTCTGCCCGGCAGGGCGAGCACCCCGTCCCTCTGCCCCGCGGCCGGGCTGCAGAGCCCTCGGCTGGCGCCTGCCTGGGCTCCAGAGGCTTCCGCAGAGAGGGCCAAGGGGGCTGAGCCGCCCTCTGGGGCTGGAGGGGAAGCCCCAGCTTCACTGCTCTTCTCCGCTTCTCCCCTGCCCCAGGTGACTATGCCACCGAGAAGGCCACCAGGCAGATCTTCAAACGCCCGCCGGAGCAGCACATGGTGTTCCGGCACAAGGAGACACAGAGCCAGACGCCAGGTGAGCAATGAACGGGGGGACATGCCCACACTCCCAGCCACCTCTCCCCCGCAGAACATCTGCCGGGCAGCTGCACCCCAGCCCCCGGGGACACCACCATCTCCCCACAAGCTGCTTGGTGGCCCCGAGCACCCGCTTCTCCCACCCCAGGACCCACCTCAGGCTGGGAGCTGCTGACGCTGGCACGGGACGCCCCCCTGCCCCGCTCCCCGCGGCGCTCACCCCTCTGCCCCTTCCCCTCCAGGTCCCGGCGCCTACACGCTGCCCAGGCTGGTGGGGCCCAACACTGCCTACACCACCGCCAGCCCCTGCTACACCATGGTGGGCAAGAAGAAGCGGGGTGGATTTGCCGAGGACCTCGCCAGGGTGAGCTGCTCTCCTCCGCTCCCTCCCGGCCCCACAGCCACGGGTCCTCCGGCTCTCTGCTGGTGGCCCAAGGAGCTGCCCTTGTTGCCATCGCTCCCTGCCATCTCCCACTGCTTCTCCGGCCGGCTGGCCCGCCCGGGCACCCGGCACGGACCAACACTGGCCCTTTGGTCCAACCACCCGGCCCCCTCTCTCTTACAGACACCGGGGCCAGCCGCCTTCCCCAAGGTAGACGTGGATGTCTACAAGACCAGGCAGCCCAGTTACGCCATGGCCAGCAAAGCGGGAGCGGGAGGCGACCGCACGCTGAAGCCAGGGCCAGCGGACTACCGTGTGGGGAAGGTAAGGCAGCCCCCCTTCCCCCCCTCTGCTCTGCTCCACCACCACCAGCCCCAACGCCTCCCCTCCCCCCCCGCTCTGTCCTTCCCCGGCTCCAGAATGGCGGGCGCTCACACCCCACTGGCTCTTCAGGAGGACACCCCAGACCCCAGAGCAGCCCTTGCTCACACCCCAGGGACCAGCTGGGAGGGCAGGGGGCTTCCAGCAAAGCCCAGCGGGAGCCAGAGGGGCTGCGGACCTGCAGCCAGCGCCAGCCCTGCCGGGTGGCCTGGGCATCTCGCCACCTTTGGTGGCAAACACAAGAGCTTGCCTTTGCACAGCCACCTAAAAACCCTGGAGGGATGTGTCCCACCCAGGGCAGCTCTTCTGGAGAGCCAGGTGCCACACTCAGTCACCTCCTGAGGGCTTGTTCTCTCTTCCCCTTCCAGGTGACGCTGATCAAACCCGAGGCGCCCGCTTCCACCTTTGGGCTCCGTCACTCACTCTATACAACTCCTCTGATTGTGCCTCCCTGAGCAGCCAACCCCACTCACCACCTCCCGCTGCTCCCTCGGGGCAAAAACCTGAAGGATTCCCTTCTGCTTCCCCAAGGCCTGCTGTTCCCACACCCTCAGCAGCTCACTCCTTTGACTAAGCTGTCCCCTTCTGACCCTGTTCTTCATCTTTGCTACCAGTGCATGTTAGATATTTAGTGTTTCAGCCTTGTTCAATTTTCTGTTTACTCAGGTGTTAATTGTTAGTTAAGAAAAATAAAGTTTGTTCTCTGCATAAGGCATCACCCTTTCAGTGTAAAAAATTTCCCTAATATCCATGCTAAACCTCCCCGGTGCAACTTGAGGCCTTTTCCTCTTGTCCCATCACCTGTCCCTTGGGAGAAGAGACCACTCCCCCCCCAGCTACACCCTCCTTTCAGGGAGTTGGAGAGACCGAGAAGGTCTCCCCTCTGCCTGTACCCTATTTTTTCCCACTTACTATTTCCGCCACTTTTAGCCCAGCAGGAAGACCAAGTGCTTCCCCAGTGACCTGTGGCAATTTCCCTCTCCCTGGTAAAGAAGAAGCCTCAGAAGAGGCTCTCCACCATCCATCCTTGGTTCTGGAGCACCCCAGGAGCTCAGATGCTGCAGACAAACCACCACAGGGGTTTTGCACACCAGTTGTTCAATGTCTTGCTAATTGAGATGGCTCCATGCTCTCATTAGCTCCTAACAGAAGGCACATGAGCTCGTCACTCACCATTAGCAACTGAAGGCTAACTTAGGTTAACTTCTCATCAGATGGGATCAGATGGTTATTGTTTGCAACTCCCTGTGTAGGTGACAAAGAGCTTGCAGTGGGAGCAGGAGCTCCACCATTCCCCCTGTGCCCCCCCCGCCCCTGCTGTCGGCAGGACCTGCCATCCCCACTCCCTCCACAGGCACCTTCTCCAGCCTTTGGTGCCCTTTGTGAGGGCTGGTGGTGTTGAAATTAGGTAATAAAATAAACCGGGTTGGTTTTGGAATGATGAGGGTGGAATGATGGGGTGGCACTGACCATCTGGGGCCCGTAGGTCTGTGGTCACCCCACGGCTCGTGGTCTCCTGTGGAGTTAGTGACTGAGGATTAGCTGGCCTGCGATGGCTCTGCTTCTAAGGGTGTGTAGTGACTATTAAAAATGGTTCCACTTCTGCTCTTTGGCCCCTGCGTGGAGTCCTGTGGTGGACACCATGGCACGGGCACGCGGGCAAGAGCGTGTGGTGTGGGTGTGAGGTGAGGAGATGGCAACAGAAACACCTTTGCTGGGTCACCTTCCCAGAGAGCGGGATTTTTGCACATCAGCTTGTTCCAGAAAAAGGAAATTGTCCTTCCCTCAGCCCTCGCTGGGTTTGTGAGTTCGTGTGGACTCAGTGTACCTGGTAGGAGAGCATGAAGCTGGAGGAGTGGTGGGGCAGTGGTGCCCCAGTGGTGGGGCAGCACCGAGCAGGATGAAGAGGAGACATTTCCTCCACTGTCCCTTCTTGTACTTCTCTCTTGGTCCCACCTGCAGAGGAGCAGCCGGGAGCTCTGGGGTGAGCTGCGATGGTGCTGTCTGCCTGGTTTCCCCTTGGAAACCCCTGGGCATCCAGTTTGCTTTCAGGTTTTTGCTGTAGTCCGTGCCGAAATAACCCTTCTCCTCCCGGTGACTCTGTGTGTGCCTCCTGGGGATGCTCGGGGCACCAGCAGTGCGGTCCAAAGCGAGCAGACCATTCACCTTGTGCTCAGCAAGTTTTGGATCCATTGCTATCACAACTGCTGCATTTACTGGGAAAAAGTCAACAGTCAGAAAAAGTCGCTTTTTGGTCGAGGATGTGATTTCCTCGGGTCGGTCAGGGTTAAGTCACTGACCCGTGTGTGTGTCTGTGTCTGTGTGTGCTGGAGGTGAGTGGGTGTACAGAACAACACTGCTGTTTGGACTTGGTCAAAACAAACAGCATCTTGTCCTAAAGGTAAGAAGGAGGATAAAAAGACCTTTGTTTATAAAAACAGACAACAGAAATAATTTTAAAACATCACCTGAATTTTATTTAGAACTTGGATGTTGCCTCTAAAGAAATAAGATCTACAGTAGACTGGCAGGTGACAGAGTGTGCTGCTCAGCACACAGAGTTTGCACAAACAGCTGCCAGCATCCTGATTTTCTCCATTCTTTGTGTTTGTTGTTTTCCCAGAGGCTTTGGCTAGGAGTAACTGGAGGTCATGGGGCAGCGTGGCCAGCAGCTGGGTCACACATTTTGTCAGCCGAAGCCTCTGTCCGAACACGTTTCTGCAACAGAAAGTGGGAGCAGTGAACCCATCACACCAAGGCACATGCTGCAGAGAGACACCAGACTTACGGACACCTGAACTCTGTCCTGAGTCCGTGTCCTCGGGCAGAACCCCCCTGGGGACAGGGGCTCAGTGGCACCCGCGGGTGCTCGTGGGGCTGGGACACCTCCTGAGCTCCCGCGCCAACACGGACAAAGGGCAAGTGTGTCACGAGCCCCGAGTCCCTCTCGCTGCTACCTGGAAGTTCTCTTTCATCTTGGCTCTGTTCCTTCAAAGCACACCTGCCTGGAGCAGGTGCTTCCCCCGCGGGGGGGTTGGATCTCCATTAGCTCCAGCCACCCAGAAAAATCACTGTGTTCATTGCAGAGACTGACTGTTGTTCAACCACTGCTCTGAGCGCCCGGCAGCTCTGTGCCGCCCTGCGGCCCCACCTGAGGCCAGGGCATCCCCGAGTTAAAGTATTTGGGTGCTCTTGGTCCAGAATCTGGTACAAGGCTGCACAGTTATAGACATTTTATGGTAATAATAAAAGGAGTGAATTACCAGCAGACTGACGAGGGCCTTTATGTGCTCGGGAGGAAGCTCATCAATACGTTCCTTCAGCGCGGCCAAAGCAGCTCTGGTCAAACCATCAAGGTTGTACCGAGCCATCGGTCCCGCGTAGAGCTGCTCGGCAGAGCCCTCCAGCAGCGTCAGGAGAAAGCTGGGGACAGTCTCATGCTCAGAGCTGGCTGCTGCAGCGTGAGAGACAGAGTGGAGTGTCACCAACAGACCTCTCGCTCGCCCGGGTCCAGCTGCTGCTACCCTGAGCCCCCCTCCATCCCTGTAACAACACACAGAGCACACTCTGTTCACTCACCACACACTGAGCACGTTCTCAGCTTTGTGGGGATTTTCTTAAAGCTTTCAGAGAAATGGGTTGTCTCTTTCTCTTTCTCTTTCCTCTCCTCTCCTCCCCCCCTCCCCCTCCCTCTCCCTCTCCTCTCTCCAGCTTCATCTCAGGCTCCGTGGGACTTTTCTTCTCTTTTCCATGCACCTTTTCTTCCTTATATTATTCCCTGTTCCCTACCAAAAGCGATTTAACTCCCTTCTCTGCATACATTCATCTATTCATCACCCAGGTTGTCTCTAATACCCAGTAATTACATTTTTTCTCCTGTCTCTGGAATTGTCAGCATTTTGGATGAAAGAAAATGTTTCTATTCTCAGTCTCTTTTCTTCAAGTCCAAATCTTGTCGCCTTCTGATCTTGCTACTGACACAAATCCGATTTTGAATTTACACTTAATGTGCTGTTCTGCCAAGACCCTGCTGGGTTTTCCAGGGCTACTCATGCAGTCAGATCTCCTTTACACACTCTCCTCCTATGAACTGTCTTGCTTCAGTAACTGAGCCTTGATTTTTTAAAAAATAATCATCAGCAGCAGCAGCAGCCTGCAAAGTTCCATCTGCAGAGACCCGATGGCATCAGATGAACCTGACCATGAGTGTCCAAATGACAAATATCTCAGAGACCTGACAGAGGCTGCTGCAATCAGTGTCTTCTGGGAGGACAGGAACCCAAATCTCCCTGTTGCCACCAGAACTCTCTGGTGGGAACCAAGGGGCACCGATCCTGCCCACAGAGACCCACCACACTTTCTCTGCAAGTTTAAACGAGGCATCAAGGAGCCTTCCAGTTGCTTCCTGCAGTAGTTTCCACCCAGTGTTTAATGGTGAACAGGTGAATAGTTTGCACACTTTGTGCATAAGTTTAATGAGTTCGGGGTTATGAAAAAAAATATACTTAAATCCCATTTTTGTAACTGGCAAAACTTACTGCTGGCGCTGCAGAGCGCGGCGGCGAGGAGCAGAGCAGCGGTGGGGCTCATGGTGAGGAGAGGGGGCGGCGAGTGCCCGGCACCAGCAGGGGAAGGTCCCAGCAGAGGAAGGTCCCAGCAGAGGAACGTCCCGGCAGGTCCTGCAGCTGCGCGGGAACTGGGTCGGGACGTGCTGGTTTGTGAAGGGGACGGATGACAAATGGGGGTGACCTCGGAGCTGCCCTCAGTGCACCTGGGGCAGAGCGTGATGCTCTGGTGGCCGGAGCCCAGAGACCCCCCATCCCCAGCAGGTGTGGAGCTGCAAACCCCAAAGCCAAGGAGCTGCCAGCCCTGAGATCCAAGGCCGGTCACGCTCCTCGGCTCCAGCCCCTGACGGGGTTTCATGCTGAGCTGCTGCCACTTTTCTTGCATAATTATTACTCCATTGTTCCCCTGCTTCCCTTCCATAATTCCAGTTCTGTGGGGAATAACATTTCTTTATAAGCCTCATGATTTGTGGCTCAGAAATACATATATATATATGTGTATAAAAGAGTAGGCTGACGCATGGATAAAAATAACCACACATTAAGGAAGAACATCTTTAGTAGCTGCTTCTCTCCAGCTTCTCAGCTGCTCTTGGCCGAGCGTGCAGCGTTGGAGGCACCAGCTGAAACCACCCCGGCGGGAGGGAGGCAGCGACGGCAGCGTCTCCCGCTGTTCTGCTCCATCCCTCTGGACCTGGGCTGAGCAGGTCTTCTGGGATCTCCCTCTTGGATTTGCCTGTGGAGCCTTGAATAAATTCATATCTCAGTTTGCTCTTTTGTCATTACCCCTAATTTTTAGCAGAGGGTTTCAAGGTCCATCAAGTAAAATGTGATGAAGCAGTTGGGGGGGAGGGGGTGAAGGAGAACAGGTCACCAACTTCCCCCTTAAAACGTTAAGTGTTTGTGGAGGGTGTGCAGGGCCTCAGGGGATTATTGGAGGATACAGTTTATTTTTAGATGGCTGTGAAGAAATACATAAACTGAGAATGCTTGGTGACCTTCATACAGGACTGTAAAAATATATCATTTTAATATTTTTATAACCCTAAGTTGATTGTCTAGGTGACTACAGTACTGAAATATGAAATTATAACATAAAACTCATTCCTGAAAATGTTCTCATTAGTTTTTTGCGCCACTTTGGGGACAGGTTGGCAGTAAAGGACTTCAACTTGTGAAATGGCTTAGAACGGTCCTTGGGATGTTTTTAGTTGTACACATGGAATTTCTTGGCAGAGAATTCCAGAGAAGAGGAAAGGGGGTTTATTTTCCTGTTTGCTTAGAAAACGGATGCCGTGTAGCGAGAAGCTGTGATGCTGAGCAAAGGGGGCCCGGCAGCCCCCGGGGGTGCGCAGGGTAGGGCTCAGGAGAGACGCAGGAACCGCCTGGGGGACCCCAGCAGCCATCAGTGCTCGTCCTCACCCATCCTGCTTCAAGAGAAAGAAGCCTTTGACTGTTGACGGTCTCGGGAGGCATCTGCTCTGCCCTCGTGTCCATGGTTTCGGTCCCCTCGCAGCGTCATTCCTGCTCTCAGCATCACAGAAAGATATGGGGTTGGAAGGGACCTCTGGAGATCATCTCCTCCAGCCCCCTACCAAAGCAGGGCCACCCAGAGCAGGTCCCACAGGAACGTGTCCAGGGGGGGTTTGAATGTCTACGTGATGAAGTAGTTGGGGGGAGAGGGGGTGAAGGAGAACAGGTCACCCACTTCCCCCTTAAAATGTTAAGTGTTTGTGGAGGGTGTGCAGGGCCTCAGGGGATTATTGGAGGATACAGTGGGCACCACTGAAAAAAGACCAGCCCTCTTGTGTCACAAGGGGCTCTGCCCACCCGACAGCAAAAAGCCAGAGGAGCATGGCAGGGTTCCTGGACCACAGGTCGAGTCCATGCTTTGTGCCGGGGCACTTCCCAAGCTGTGAGTTTAGGAACTCAATTTGCAGAGCTGGAGGGAGATTTCACCACCAGCTGTCCTGGCAGGGCTCGTCCTGATGGTACCATCCCTGGAGCTGATCCCACTGGGAGGGAACACGGGTGCCCTTGAAAATGAAGCGTTTTGTTCATGTTCTTCTGGTTTTAAACAAAGAATGCATATAATTCTATCCTAAAAGAGTGTGAATTTCAGATTTGCCTTAATTAGTGACACACAGCTTAACGAAGTCTGTGATGGATGGGAGGGGAGTACGTCCTTTCAAGGCGTGCACATCCTATGATTATCTTCATGCTGGAACTGTGACCCCATGTGCCCCGTTCCCACTGCAGGGACACACCAGTGCAGCGGGACGGTGGCACCGCGCTCAGCCCCCGTGGGTTTTGTGCTTTGAGCATGTTCTTATTCTGAGCAGAGGCAATTCTCAGGGCACAGAGAGCTCTGAGGGAATCTCCTCCCTCGGAGAGACCCCAAGGCAGCCTGGCAGTGGTCCCGGGCAAGTGGTCCCAGGTGGCCCTGGCTGAGCAGCCAACCTCCAGAAGGCCCTTCCCACCCCACCAGCCTGTCCCTCGGTGAATTACTCCTCTGCCAGCTGTGAGTGCTGAGTGCTCTCAGAAGGGGAGGCTGCAACAAATCAGCTGTCCTATTCCCTATTACCCTCCCCCCCTCAAAAAAAAACCCCAAACTTCCCCCTAAAAGATGCATTTGGATGAAAATAAGCTTCTAGAGTCCTTGAAAAGACCCACAATGGCTCCAGGGGCAGGAAACAGTATTTGGAAATATGTATCCCTTGGCACGGGCTGCTAATCTGGATTTTCATTGTAAACTACTTAATGTCATTTGGGGATTTGTCTAAAAGTGTTTGTTTTTCTTGTTTTCCCACTGCTGGCAATATGGTCAGCAATCAGGTCACTAGAATCCATTTTAATTAAAAATAATGTTTTCAGGCTAATTCCTGAACAACCAAAAGGTAAATTCTGGGTCTGAACCGTACCAAAGAGACCCCCACGTATTCTGGAGCGCGCCCCGTGGCGCCCGCGGGCACAGAGGTGACAGAACAGGGTCGTGAGAGGGGAGGGTGTGAAAAGGGCAGGGAATAAGCTTCTAGAGTCCTTGAAAAGACCCACAATGGCTCCAGGGGCAGGAAACAGTATTTGGAAATATGTATCCCTTGGCACGGGCTGCTAATCTGGATTTTCATTGTAAACTACTTAATGTCATTTGGGGATTTGTCTAAAAGTGTTTGTTTTTCTTGTTTTCCCACTGCTGGCAATATGGTCAGCAATCAGGTCACTAGAATCCATTTTAATTAAAAATAATGTTTTCAGGCTAATTCCTGAACAACCAAAAGGTAAATTCTGGGTCTGAACCGTACCAAAGAGACCCCCACGTATTCTGGAGCGCGCCCCGTGGCGCCGGCGGGCACAGAGGTGACAGAATGGGGCCGTGAGAGGGGAGGGTGTGAAAAGGGCAGGGTTTGGCATCTTTTAGGGCAGAGTGTTCCCCCTCACCCTGCTCCTGCACCATTTCTACCCGTTCTGTGACTCCAGAGCCACCCACCCCCTGGGGGGGGGCAGCACGCCTGCAGGCACCCCTCCTTCTCCCCACCCCGGGAGTGTCTCTGGCAGCATTGCCCTCCCTTGTGATTCTCACTTTACAGCAAACACTGCACTAAACCTAATTTGGGGGTATTTACTTTTATTTCTTATTCTGTTTCCAGGTGCGGGCACCTTCCCCTCTCTCCCCCCATCGTGTGTCCCGTTCTCTGGTCTCCCACAGGCTGCATCACGCCCCCCAGGGCTGTGGATCTGGGGCTGCATCTAGAATCACAGCATCCCAGAATGATATGGGGTGGGAAGGGACCCCTGGAGATCATCTAGTCCAACCCCTGCCAGAGCAGGGCCACCCAGAGCAGGTCCCACAGGGTCACATCCAGGGAGGGTTTGAATGTCTCCAGAGAAGGAGACTCCACCCCCTCCCTGGGCAGCCTCTGCCAGGGCTCTGCCACACTCACAGCAAAGAAGTTCCTCCTCATCTTTAGGTGGAACTTCTTACATTCAAGTTTGTGCCCGTTCCCTCTTGTCCTGTCCCTGGGCACCACTGGAAAAAGCCTGGCCCCATCCTCCTGACACCCACCCTTGAAGTATTTATAGGTGTTGATCGGATCCCCCTGATCAGTCTTGATCAGTCTTCTCTTCTCCAGACTAAAAAGCCCCAAGTCCCTCAGCCTCTCCTCATAAGGGAGATGCTCCAGGCCCCTCAGCATCTTTATAGCCCTAGAAGGTGACTCCACATCCTTTCAGGAGCTTAACCTTCCTCCAGGACATAATCAAAGACCTCCAACCGCCTCATCAGCAGGCATTTTGCACTAAAGGCATACAAAAAAAGGCTTAATAAACACAGTCTTCTGAAAGCAAGACACAGCAGAATCTGGCTTGATCTGCCCCGGGGGGATTGGGATCCCACCCGAGAACAAACCTGGAAGAAATCAGTGATCCTGAGGATGTGCCAAGAAGCCCTGCTTCACCTGATCCTGATCATGTACCACTGAGGAGACCTGGTAAGAAAAGTCCCTGTCTTTGTAAACATTAAGAGAAATACTTGAAATCAAGAGTGAAATTATCTTTCTTAAAATCTTGAGGCTGTACTTGTGGGGTTTTGTCTGTGTTTTTAAATACCAGTGTTGGAGTTGTGAAGTGTGACTGAGGTCCCTGCTCTGCCTGGTGGCAGCAAATCTGAGTATTTTCTGAAGTTACAGGGGTAGCCAACGACAGGGACATGGGTTAGGTCAGGGTGGATTCCAGTAATGTATTTTCTTAGCAAAGATTTCTGGGAATATATCATCCCACCAAGGTGTCCCTCTTCTCATTTCCAGAAACAAAAGGAGAAATTACCAAAGCAGAGGTATTTTGTGCTGTAGCAGGAGTTACAAAGCTCTTCCCAGACAGAACATTCCTGTCTCAAGGAAACAGCAAAAAGCAACACCAAAGGACAGATGCCAAAATACTGATGATTTTTCAAATAAAAAAAAAAAAAAAATCAATGAGTCCATAAGAGAATCTGGTAGGAGATGATTTAACTCACTTTTATCAAACTGTCGGACATTCAAATGCATTCAGCTTGAAAATTACTGCCATTTCAGCAAACTTTCTTACAAAAGGTTTATGTTCAGAGATACAAAACAATCTACAGAGCATCTATCAAAGCACAATCATCTCGCAGACAAAAACACACACCAATAGCGCCGCACCTACAGCTGAGATACTTAAATATAAAACCCCCCACATCATTGGAATGACATTTGCTGGCAAATAGCTCATTAACCAAACGCACCAGGAAGGGCAGTCTCCTTACACACAGGATAATCTCCATACAGTGGCTTTTTAAAGGATTCACCTGTAAATACACAGAAATGGTGTTTTTCAGTGCTTTGCTCGCCCGTGCTTAAAACAAATCCACCAGTGAGAAACAGCTGGATCTGAGGGGAGAGGCACAGAGGTTGCCATTGTGCAGAATTCAGACTTCTGTGACGCACAGAAACCAGTATAACTGCTTAAAATAAAATCCTCAGGATGTTTCAGCCCGAGCTGTAGCAACACCAGTATCCGTCTGGCTTCAGCACAGAACTGTGCCTGGCACTGCTGAAAAGGGAAACCAAGGAAAGCCTGTGGCAATCTGCAGGAGGGTGAAGAGGATGAAGACCACACCTAGTAGTGTCTTCTTCTGGAGAACAGCCCTAGTGCACGATTGGATTATACCCAAGGTATCAGGTAGCATTTTTTCACCAAAAGGGTTGTTGAGCATCAGAACCATCCCTGCAGGTATTTAAGAAACACGTAGATGTGGCACTTCAGGGCATGCTCTAGTGCCTGAGATTGTTGGGTTTTGTCTGTCTGTGGGTGGGTGTGTTGGTTTGGCTTGTGGGGTTGTTTGTGGGGGGGTTTTTTGGGTGGGTTTTTTTTTTTGTGGTTGGACTTTATCTCAAAGGTCCCTTCCAACCATGTGATTCTCTGATTCTCCATCCTCAGTGGGATTCCACATGCACGGGGTCCCTGGTTGTGCCAGTCCCCCAGCTCCAGCCACCCGGAGCAGCTGCCTGGCTGGAGAGGGGCAGATCCTACAGCTTTAGGTGACACAGACTCATCACCTAACAGACTACACCTTTGCCAGCTTAAAGCTAAGGGTCAAAGGAGAAGCACCTTCCCGAGGCAGTATTTCCCAAAAGCTCACTGATTTGCCTGACAGGGAGGAAACAAGCCCCCAGAGCATAAAATGCAAGAGGCCTGGTAAAAACTGACATTTATTCAACATTAATAGGCAGAAGATTTACAGATACTGAACAGTAGCTTTCTCACCTCAAGAGGTAGAAGCTGCTCCCCCGGAGGCAGCCGCTGCCCCTCAGTACTTTTTGATGCTGTAGGGCAGCCCGAGCGTGGATTTGGCACTGGGGAAGGGCGGGGAGCTCCAGACGGCAGAGCTGGTGCGCTTGACGTAGCGGGGCTTGCTCTTGTAGAAGATGTCCTCCAGCTTGGGGCTCAAGATCACCCCAAAGATCGCGTCGATGTTGGGAGGGTTGTAGTACTGGTGGATTACAGCTTGGCTAAGCTGATTCCCTGGGGAAACAAAGGATTACGTTTTCATTAATTTTAATTGAAATTGCTGCGCAGGCTGTTTGTGCGCAACGTGTCCCTGCTCTCCTCCTCTCTAATCGCATCAAGATCACCATCGGGAGAAACCGGCAGCATTTGGTGTTTTCAGGCACCCTGTTTAAGCCTAAAGATCCACCACAGATCACTTGGGGGGACACATACTGGGTGTACTGACCCTGTCCAGGAGGCTAGGGCAAGTTTGCAAGAGGCAAAGCTTGTCAGCTTTTCTTCCTGCAATACCCTTGTTTCCCTGCAACTCCTCAGCTCCCCCGGGGCGAGTGAACAGGAAAACACAGCACTGGGTATTTCAGAACCAAAACAGCCCGTCTGAAAGCTGGCCTGGGACATCTGGCATTCCTTTGCCTTTTGAAGCCAAATCAGGCTCAGGGACAGAGCACTAGTCAATAATTATTCCTTTCTCATTGGGAAAGTGACACCAGCAGCTCTGCCAGGGCAATTTAAAAGAGTATTTGTTCCCCAACACTGTCACAGGAATATCCCCCAAGAGGCAGAGGAGCCCCTGGCTCCACCTCCAGCCACACAACAGGAGATGGGTACTTTTACCTGCAGTGTGGAAGCAGGAGGAACCGGCAGAGCCTGGCACCAGCCCTCACCCTCCGTGGGAGCGGAGCCACAGCAGGGGCTGGGGACAGATCACCCCCTGCACCTACCAGTGGCCCAGGCAGGGACCGGCTTGCGAGGCTGGCTTTCGTCATCCGTGGAGTCATCGCTGTTCAGGTCCAACCCATAGTTGTTTGGATTTATTACGGGGGGCTTTGGCTTTCTCTGGGCGTGTGGAGTCATCTGGTAGGAGCTGCAGACAGGTGAGCTCTACAAGACACACATATTGCACAGCCATGAAGAGCAAGGCACCACTACTGGGCGATCAGAACACCTCCGTGCTCCACCTCTTGCTTTACCCCATAACTGCAAAGCCTGAAGTTTGGCACTTCTAAAGTTTTGACCCAATTATGACTTTGCGTTGCCTTCTCCTGTTCAATTAGGCTGCTTAATTGGCTTTGTATGAGATGGACAAGCCAGCAATATATGCATGATAAATACACAGCAGCTCCATTAGTTCAAGCAACGCCTAAATGGAGCTGTTACACCCTCAGAGCTGGAGCTGGGCAATGTGCTTTAAAATACCCTGCAACCCAACTTCTGGGCTTCTTTAACAATACTAAACTGACTATTTCCATGGAGAGAATACGCACATAACGGCTCAGGACAAACCACATGGTAATCTGTATGGGAACAGTATAAATTGACTGAGACAGGCAAGTGGTGAAGAAAAACTTAAACCAGCAAATGTCACCAGCCATGAAACATCTCTCTAGAGAGCTGGAAGCGGTTTTGCTTCTCCACAAGAGGCTGTCTTCGTGGCTCTGTGTCCATTGACATTAACTCGTGTTTCACTGGTTCTGCATTTAAAGATTAACATACATAGCTTTGCAAGGAGATAAAGACCCATATGTTTGTTTTCGATGTTCAAGACACATACATTCACCTGCAGCCTTTCCCAAGTTCAGTGGTGGTGAGGCCCAAAGAAATCCCATCCCACAGCCTCTGCTGCCATCCCGTGGCTCTTCCTTCCTTGAGTGAGCTCAAATAGCACCATTTCAGCATCGCTGCTGCCTGGAGGCTCAGCCCACATTGAAAGAGCAGCAGCTCAGACAGGGCAACTTTAACAGCCACTGCTTAACCAGACAGCAAGAAAACCCTGGCAAATACCCACTGCTGCCCTCCCCTCCTCTCCCCAGAAGTCACTGAAGTATTCAAGAGCCCTCCTCAGATAACCAGGGGGAAAAAAGAGTTTATGGAATCCCCTTTGTCATTGAAAGGGAACATAAGAAGTGGAGGGTGAAACTGCCCATTGTACCAGCATGTCAGTGCTGAATCAAAGCTCTCTGGTGTCCCTGAAGGAAATCTCAGTGGAGGGAGCAGAATTACCTCTTTTTTCTCTAGCAGCTGAGTCCGGGATCTGTCTTTAGCCTTTTGCACCTCTGGCAAAAGGACCTCCTCCTTCACTCCTCCTTCCTTCTCTTCCTGCTCCTGCCTCTTCCTCTCTGCCAGCCCCTGCTCTTCCTGCTGGCAAGCCCACACAACAAATGAATTAATTCTCGGAACTAAGCTACACTGTTAATCCAGGGATCCGTTATTTGATGTGCAAAAAAATAGCTAAGCATCTAATTGCAAGTCTTTGCAATTACCAACCAACTGTCCCAACCTTCTGCTCTTTCTCACAAATCATCTCAAAAGTGCAAGTTCTCCCAGATCTCAGATAAAGCAAAAAGCAACGGCCTAAATAGCCAAGGGTTTGCTACTAATTCCCAGTATTTGCTGTGGGCAGATCCTTCAGACATATTCCAAAAGCTGCCTGAACCCCACCAGGGGGCTTTCCCTCTGCTCCAGGGAGAATGCACACTGCAAAGCCCCGAGCCCACCCGGCTGCAGCTGCTTTACTCAAACAGCACGGGCTGCCAAGGCATCACAAGTTCCTCTGCAGCACCCCAAGCAGAAACACTCCAACAGGAGGGGCCACAGATCCACGGGGCTGAACCCACCCAGCAGGAGAGAGCACTTACCTCTGTCTTCTCCGTCTCCCCGTGGAGCTGCTCTTTAGCTTCCTTCTGCAGCTGGGCAGCCTTCTCCTGTCGCTCTCGCAGCCTGAGAGCCAAAGCCACAGACTGTCACTCCCAAACCTGCACAGGGGCACCCTCCCCCCCAGTCCCTGCTGCAGACCCCCACCCCACAGCTTTCCAGGGCGCTCCCCCAGCACTTCCCACATCACCGAGCCCAGAATTTCTTCTTGGCAGCACAGTGTCCGTGATGGTCCAGGGCCACGTTGACAGTACAAAGTGGCTCTTCAGGGCCTGGGCCTCTCACTAGTGCCCTCTGTTCCTGCTCCTTTTCAAAGACCCAGCACAGAATTTAGCACATAAATAGATGCTGTCTTACTTTTCTGCCTGGATCCTCTCCTGTTCCTTCTTCCTCTCCAGCTCTCTCTCTGCAGCCAGCTTCTTCTCTCTCTCCTGTTCTGCCCGTCTCTGCTCAGCGATTTTCCTGGCACGTTCCTGCTCCTCTTCCTTCCTCTTCTGCATTAACTCTTTGTGCCGACGTTCCTCCTCCTCCTGGTAACGACAAGGCAATGACTCCCCTGACATCGTACAGGAACAGACTCCAGAGGAGCAGGAGCACCTTATTTGTCCCCAGTCTCTGCCACCTCTCACCACCCAGCAGGGACACACCTCGGGGCTGAAGTCCCAGTGCTTTCATCATCTCTCCAGCTACCCCAGGGCTGGCCTTTCCCTGCCCACAACGCACCCCGTTGTGCACTGGATCTCCCAGAGACAGCTTTAACTGAGAGATCCACAAATTAAGGTCTTAGTAAGAATCTGTCCAGACCTGAGGAAGAAGCATGGGTCACAGCCCCCACTACGAGCTCACAGCACACAGAGAGGGAACAGGGAGCACGACATCACAGGGAGCTTCCAGGACAAAGCCTCACTCCCTCGTTGGTGTTTGTGCTCCCGCCGGATCCCCCGCACAAAGACCAGCAGGTTGTGGCCATTCTCATTGCCTGCAAACAGTGGGACAGGCTCCAGCACCGACCTGCTGCAGTGCTCTCTGTTTTCTGGCCTCTTCCTCCTGCCTGCGCCGTGCCTCTGCCTCTTCCATTTTCTTGGCAGCTGCTTTCTTTTTGATCTTCTCCTCTGCCAGCCTTTCTTCCCGCACCTGAGACACACACAGCCAGCTGCACACCCGAGTCCCCGGCGAGACAGCGCGCTGGGCTTGTGAAACACCACAACAAGTCTCAAAGACACAGAGCTCCCACCTTCTCATGGGGCAAAAGCTGCCTTTTTTGCCACCAGGAGCCAATGGGACCTGTGCTTTATATTAAAAAGGTAATATTTAGGAAAATCACTTTCTTTTACAACTCCACAGGCAGAGCTGATCCTATTCTGGTATTTATACATCTAATATCACAAAAGCCATCAAAATACATTCCCAAAACCATGAAATAAGCAAAGCAGATGAAGATAATTGGAGCAGACAAATGACTGCTCTGGGCCCACGTGTATGTCGTTTTAGTCTCAGATAAAGAAAGGGGCTGGAGGAAATATGTTTATTTTCACCCCTCCATCTATGGGTCAGATGAGAAAAATGCTTCAAGCGGATGAAGCATCAGGGCCATTATGCTTTATCTACTCAAAGTTCTTACTCCCATCTGACTAACAGAGCCTTGATTCAGCCCATTTAGACTCACAATTCTGGAAAATAAGTGTTCTCATCTGCCATTTGCTGTAACCAAGAGAAAAGCAGTCACTCAGTAGTTTCTGGAAGATCGTTATTTGACCATTCTCTGGTCTGCTCTTTAGATTTCAGCAGCCTGAGTTCCTCTCTCTGGCAGGCACACTACCTCAATTGGTTATTTATTCTCCCAAATGAACTCTGTAGGCATATTGGGCCTTACCTTCTCAGTCTTCTCGTCAAACAGAGCTATTTTCTGCTCAATGCGCCTTTTCCTCTCCTCCTCGATCTGCTCTGCCCGCTCCCGAGCCTGCAGCACCTTGCGCAGCCGCTCCTCACGCTTCCTGCAGGACAGGGCCAGCTTCACCACTGTGCCCAGCGGGACGAGCCCCTCACAGCACCAATACATGGCCAGGAGACACAGCACGAAACACAACCAACCAAACACACCCCTCATTTAAACATCAGCAATATCTTTAAGCTCCACCTGAGACAGAGCACTTAAGACAAGAAGCTGAAGCAGCAGACAGCTAGTGGAGCTGACTTTCTATTAGCATTCTAGATACTATGAGAAGAAATACTGTCTTTGTGGTGTGAGAGCAAGCCAACTACAATTTTTGCTGCATATATGGACTCTGCAAGATAAAAGACCTAAATATAGGGACCTACAGGGCAGAGAGCACACTCCAGACGGGGCAGAAAGCGTATACTCACAGCTTTGCCTCTTCCAACCGTCGCTTCTTTTCTTCCTCCAGTTTTTGCTTTCTCAGCTCCTCGGCTTCTTGCTTTTTCCTCAGAGTCTCCAGCTTCTGTCTCTCCTTTTCCTGAGGTGGATTGAAATGTGTTATACCCACTGCCAGGGTTTCCTTCTACCTCAAATTGTTCGGGTCAAGCGAGGGCCCAGAGGTGACACCGATGGGCTACAGCCAGACCCATGGGGTGGCAACGAGCCCGACCCAGAGCTCAGGTGTGGTTGTGATCCGCTCAGGGCCTGGGGTGTGGTGGTGGATGCAATGGAAAACAACAGAGTGGTGCTAATCTTAGAGAGCAGGACAAGCCACTGGCAACTCCTGGAGTTCAGGCAGCACCTGCAGAGGCTGCAAACAGGCAGCACTGTGATTTATGGTGCTAAAAAGAAGCAGAAAAGCAGCACTGACACCTGGCAGTGACAGTGACTTCCTGCAGCGAGTGAGAGGGACAGACAGGGCTCGAGGAAACACCTTCCTTCAACCCAGAGCTGCCGCTGGTGTGTTTGCTGCCCACAAAGCTTCATCTCATGGTGAACCACCACCATTCAGACAGCACTTACAGCTCTCTTCGAGCACAGTCAGTCCCATATCTCATCTAGACAGACACAGGGCGTACTCCTCATTGTTCCCAGCAGCCCAGCTAACCCTGCCCGAGGACACTGTCAATTAGAAGAGCAAGACGCAGCCATCGCTGCACTCACAGCAAACAGATAAACTAATTTAATGCAGATTTGATGCTGCAGATGCCTAATTATAATAGGCCTTATCTTAGTACAAAGCCACTGAAATAGTCAAGTGATTACTTTATGCTGGGCTCCATGTTGTAAATGATTGGTGATATTAGTATCCAAACGGGCTAACTTAAAACTAACAATTACATCTTATTGCTCTGGTGCTATTTAGTGATGTTTAGCCCCGACACAGATAAAGCCCCGAGGGGAAGCTGCCTGCACTGCAGTGAAACAAAATCTAACATTCAGAGAACTGACAGCTTATGTCAGTGTAAACACACAGCTTACAGTTACTTCTTGGTTTAATATGGGTTGAAAAGTTCTCTCACATCTGTGCGTTAACACAGACACTCGTCAGACCATCACATTCTGGCTGACAACAGCTTCATCTTACCTTGGAATCAGACCGGAGAGGAGTGTTGTACTTGATAAAGGATTTTATTACTCCATTTCTCCCTACAGAGCTTGGCGTCATGAGGAGCTGGTTCTTCTGCACAGTGTGCAAAAACGTTTTGAAAGGACGTACAACCTACAAGAGGAATGACAGAAACAACCCTCAGGAACACGAGTGAGGAACAGGCCTCAGTGAGGCACACCAGGGCTGCAAGGAGCTTACCTTGCTGGCTGGAAAGGCAGGGGATGGGATCTTTTTTTTTGGAGGAGAAAGGCCTCCTTCTTCTGCTTGCTGATTGTCATAGCATTCATCCACGGCTCTTTTGTAACTTGGCTGCCTCCTGTGAGAGAAATACAGCCCATCACACACAGCAAATCCTCCTGATTGTCTCAAAGTCAGGTTGAAAAAAGGTCCTAAGACTATCCTAGCTTAAAGGTATTTCCTTGTGATGCACAAGTAGATATCCGATAAAAAAGTTCTAATGTGACAGAAGATAAAAATTAAATCCTCTTCTCACAAAGGCAGAGAAATCTTATTGCCCAAGTCTCCTGGTCACACAAAACACTAAAGCCATTTAACAACATTTCAGTGCAGAACCTCCTTTGGACCAGGCTGCAGATCTCCAGGGGCGCTTCCCAACCAGAACGATTCCATGAACGTACCTGGCACTCTGGGGTGGTTCCTGGGTCTCCCCATTCTTATTTAAGTTGCTTTCTGGAAGATGACACTGCTCTGAAAGCAGACAAGATTTAGCAGTTCAGTAAAAAGCAAAAACCCTGCCATGAATTACAGACAGCAAGGCCTTTCCCACTCCAGCCCCGACGCACATACAAAGCTGTTCAATCATCTGGGGCACAGTGTGCACCAACGCAGCGCCGCCGTGTCCGGCACAGACAGAGCAACTGCTGCCATCAGCACCGGGGTTCAGCCTGGCCTCCCACAGCCTGGAGAACAGGCACCCCTCCACCTCCACCACATCCATTTCCCTGCGCTTCCCAGGCTGGGAAATAACTCCAGCAAAGTTTCCTAACTTGGCTCTTGAAACAAAGCCCTGCTTGTCAAAGTTTAGATTAGTCTTTCAAACCAGGCTCTCAAACTAACTGGCCAATCTTTCAAACTTCCCAAGTCAGCCTCCCAACAACATGATGACTTTAAAATTCTGCCACAAAAACCCTCTGGAAGTTACCATTGTTCTTCTCATTTCTGCCGATGGTCTGAGAGCGAAGTGACATTGGTGGAGTTTGGGGGTTCTGTAGGAAAAGCAAAGGAGTTTCAGCACAATTTTCACAGAGAAATAGGCAATTACTGTTTCAGATCGTGGTGTCATTCTGACAAGGACACTGCAATATCACCAGAGAAGGCACAGCACAAAGTCCTGGTATCAGTACCCAGAGCTAAGCACTAACCTCCAGCTCTGAAAAATACCTTGGGACACCACCTTGGTAAATTCCTTGATACTGTGTCATCACTAGAAGCACAGACATTAACAGAACACAAGTTTCTGCAATGAGGGAGATGTGCTTTTAAACTAAACTAAAATGTGCTTTGAAACTGAACAAACTCATAAAGTATTAAGGACAAAAGCAGTTCAAGCTGGCGATGTGTCTGTGCTCGCTGGACTGCTGGCAGAGTCAGGCAGCACTCGTGTGACGCTGCAGCCATGAATGGACAGAGAAGGAGACAGCAGAAACAAACAGCTCATTTCCCTGATTGACCTGTTTGGTATGAACCTGCTGTGCATTGCTAAGAGCCACCTTCGCACTTACACCAGTATAAAACCACTTCTGTGGTTAATCCAGGCTAGATAGGGCTTTGGGCAATGTGGTCTGGTGCGAGGTGTCCCTGCCCAGGGCAGGGGGGTTGGAACTAGATGATCTTTAAGGTCCCTTCCAACCCAAACCATTCTGTGATACTATTTGCCTGTGAGAGCAAACAGGCAAGCGATAGCCCCGCTCCCAAAGCCACGCGGGACAACGGTGGGCACAGGCACAAAGGAGGAGGGAAGAGGAGGAAAAAGTATGGAAACTTCATCCTCCCCAAACGCTGCTGGAGGGTCTTACCCTCAGGCACAGGAAGCACCTTGTAGCAGCAGTGATACAGAAACAAAAAATGAGGATAGATCAAATACACAACATGGATGAGACTCTATTTATAAATTCCAGAGGGTACAGAAACAAAAGATATGGATCCTCTATTCCCAGATCTGCAAAGCAGCCCACTCATTTTCCCTTTAAGCTTTTCCACAGCTGTAACTCGGGGCAGCTAAAAATCCAGAGGCGCCAGAGAAACTGAACGTGAACTTTTGCAGCTCTACTGACAAGGGCAGCCATAAATCCCTGTACCAGCCTGTCCTCGCTTACAGAAGCTCTTAAGGCCACAGAGCTCCACTCCATTAATTCAATCTTTGCCCACTGACAATTATTCTGGACAAAACACTGACATAATCCTGGGATTTTTTCCTCAGGAGACAGTGATACTTGTGGAAGGATATGTTTTGACCTGAATGATATTTACAAATTTCTGTGCTTGTCTTAAGACAAATTGACAAGCTTTGAATAATCTGCCAGACTAACAAAAAGGTCAAAAGACGCTTTAAAAATACAGAAATGGTAGTAGTATACAAACTCTGTCCCACTGAAAAAAACTTCCCTGAACTTTAAGAAGGTTATTTATCTGTACAGATTCAGGACTGAATTTTCATACAACTGATCTCTAGCAAGAGGCTGAGATGCAAGAGCAGGAAAGCAGGACTCCACCCTGAATGTCAGCGATACCAAGGTCAGTGCTCAGCCCTGACATGCACCAGCCCCTCATTTACATTTAAATATAGTTATGCAAAATGACAGAAAGAACACTATTTTTTAGTCGAAGCTAGCCTTGGCTTTACAAGCATCTGAGACTGTAACACCATGCTGACAGGGACCTCTGCTCGCATCCAAAATAAGCCTTGGGTCACACATGCTCATTTTCCAACTAAAACTTTACTGGGTTTTGTTTTGCTGATTTTGGAACATTGCAATTAAAACAGACTGGACAATATCTCAGACTGTATCTAGTCCGTGTGTTGGACCCAGGGAGGCTGTGGAGAGGCTCCTGCAGGTGTGGGAGCCTTCTTTATGGAAGTGCAACGCAGTGGCCTGACCACGTCAGCTGTCTCCAGAGCTCCCCAACTCCCCAGAACAAACAGGAGGTGCATTCAACACAGTTTGCTCACAGAAATGCTCTGCTCAAATCTTACCAGTTTGGAGGGGGTACAAGGTCCAGGAGAAGGCCTAGAAAAAAATAAAGAAAAAAGACAGCTGTGTTTAATAGCATCAAGGGAACTGGGAAGCCACTTGTTATCTGCAAGCAGCGCATTTTATACCAAGAATGTCACTGTAAAGAAAAAAATCCTCCAAATGGGATATTAAGGATAAAGAAATATCTTAAAGTAGTCTCACCCAGCTTTGACAACTGTTTCTTCATCCTCTGGCACCTCTCCAGAGCTGGAGACTGCAGGAAAAGAAAAAAAAAAAAAGCAGAGATGTAACAGAGGGGTACAGACGAAGGCTCTGCAGGAGTGACTCTCCCTCCAGACTCCAGTAGAGGCTGTGGCTCTGCCTTACAGCCTGCAACGCCGGTGCACGCCGCTGCGCGTCACACGTCGGGGCAGCTCAACACGCACCTGAGCAGCACCAGAGAGAACACTGCCTGCAATTTTAATGTAAGAAAGCAGATGCTTTCAATTATAGATGAGTTCAAAGCCATATTCAATGGGGTTACATTAAGAGTGACCGGGTTTGGGCTCAGACTCATTTTTCAGGGCCAATGGCTGGTGTCAGCCCAGTTAAAGCCAGCATTATTTACGGTGTGGGTGCTGGCTCCTGTTGAGCACTCCAGCTGCCCTTTAAGCGCCAGCAGCGCCGGAAACTGCAGTTAATAATTGAGGCAGTGATGCAGGCTCAGCCCGAGCGGAGCAGAGCAGGGCAGGCTGTGCACGGCAGAGCATGCCGTCTCCGCTGCGCCCGTTCGTCCAGCGCAGGAGGTACCGAAGCAGGAGCACACCCAGAACAAGACCTGCTGCAGCAGAGACACAGCAGGCACACGCTGCAGGCAATTAACATGCTTTGGGCTTTTGGACATTCATCACCACAACTGGAGCTGCCTGAAACATCAGCTCCTCTCCTGACAGCGGGAAATTTTGACCAGGCAGAACAGCCACATCAAGTAGCACAAAGGGAAGAAACAAAGCCTTCCTTAAACCTCCCAGGCAGCATTATTTACGGTGTGGGTGCTGGCTCCTGTTGAGCACTCCAGCTGCCCTTTAAGCGCCAGCAGCGCCGGAAACTGCAGTTAATAATTGAGGCAGTGATGCAGGCTCAGCCCGAGCGGAGCAGAGCAGGGCAGGCTGTGCACGGCAGAGCATGCCGTCTCCGCTGCGCCCGTTCGTCCAGCGCAGGAGGTACCGAAGCAGGAGCACACCCAGAACAAGACCTGCTGCAGCAGAGACACAGCAGGCACACGCTGCAGGCAATTAACATGCTTTGGGCTTTTGGACATTCATCACCACAACTGGAGCTGCCTGAAACATCAGCTCCTCTCCTGACAGCGGGAAATTTTGACCAGGCAGAACAGCCACATCAAGTAGCACAAAGGGAAGAAACAAAGCCTTCCTTAAACCTCCCAGGCAATCCAGATCTGGACAATACAGACTGATCATTTAAACTGTAAATAAAGCCACTCTAGCACCCCTTCAGCATCACAGATAAGAACATTTCCCTACGGTTTCATTTTTAACGAGGGAGCCCTCAACACTGCTGATAAACCTAGACAGCACTCCACACCACCTGTCACCAGCACGGGACTCCCTGGGCTGGGGGCTGCGGTGCTCTGCTTCTGTAAAAACATGCAGCTACAACAGTTAAATTGGTATGGGGAAAAAAAAAAAACCAAACACTAAAGCACTTCTCCAAATATCTCCAATACCAGTAGAATTCTTCAAGAAGAGTCAGTTTTATACAACACCAGTCCCACAAAGCTAGAACACTGCAGATGAACACGTTACAGCAATGTTATTTCAGCTTAGTTAGTTCTCTCTCCAAGGAAAGCAGCTGAGAAAAGCTGTGCAAAAGAGCCAGTCTGTCCTCAACATCAAATTGGGTGGAAGAGGTTCTCTTGCATCACCTGCATTTCAGGAGCCATTTACTCATCCACCACTTACAAGCCACTTCAGTCCCTCAGCTTGAAAACAAAGAGAGGTTACATCCTTCACTTTGTCTCCTGCACCAAATCCAGTGCCTTCATTCTAGTAGCACTGAAGATCATTTAAATCAGTTTATCCTTCACTGAAATCTGCCTCTATTGCAGACTGTGAAAGCTTGGAAAACTTGTAATAAGTTTACAAAGTTCAGCCTCCAAATTCTCTTCTCAAAAGAGAAGGCCTACAACTAGCAGCCTGATTCTGTTTAAAGAGCAGGGAATTTGTGACAGCTACCTCATCTCCCAGAAACATGCAGGCCTTTGTGAGAGCCCATGACCCTCCTGAGCAGCCACCAGCAGCAGCAAAGCCCATTGGCCAACTTCCTCCTCAGCTGGGCAAGCTGCTGCCAGACACTCAGGACACATGAAGGCTGTTCTCCCAGGTGATTTTTACACGGCTGAATTCACAGGCCACAAATTAGCACCACCTCTAGAAAGCCACTTAGAACACCCGTGCATACTTGCAGTTTGCCCAGGCCAGGAAGGTCAGCTGCTGAACCAAACTGCCCCATAACTTTGTTTCCCCTCAGCAGCTAAAAGCAGTAAATCAAAAAGAGCAGCAAAGGTGCAAAGGGAACTCATCTGGTGCCATTCAAACTTACCGTCCATGCAACTAGAGGACACAGATGACTTCCAAGCTGCTTTCTTCTTGGCTGTCCTGGCAATAGATTTCCGGATCATACTTTCCCTCTTGCTGGCTAGTGAGTATTTCTCTGCCAAGGAGGTTCTGCGAGTCATGGAAGTTCTACCCATCAGACTTCTGCGCACCGAGCGACGGCTCAGCCTGGAGCCTCTCGGAGTCCCTGAGTCATCCCTCATGTGCTGGGAAGGCTCCTTCTCAGAGCCCTCCTGTACCTGAGCAGAGTCACCTCCCTCCTCCAGCCTAGACTCTTCTTCACTTAAAATGAATGTAGCATTTGCTGCTGGCAGCTGAGCTGCAGCCTCGCTTTCTCCTGCATCGTTTGCCTCAGGGCTATGAGGGACCAACAGCTCAGAGGCTGCAGGTCCTGGTGGCGATTTGGCAACCCTGCTTTCCTCGGGAGAGTCATCATCTGAGCTCAGGAGGATGGCGGTGGAGATCTTCTCTGCTGGTTTAGGTGTGCTCTTCTGGAGGTGCAACTCAGCGCTAACGCGGTCGCTGAGACCAGCATCTGCTGAGGGAACCTTCCCTTCCACTTGCTGGGCAGGAAGGGTCTCAGGGAGAGTCTCTGAAATTTTATGAAATGCTGCAGCCTGGGATCGTGTCACACGCTGAGATGGAGAGACTTGTTTGATCTCAGCCCTGATTGCTTCCAGCTTTTCTTTATTTCGGAGTCGCTGAGAGTATCGCGGGGAGGGAACCAGTTTGAAACTGCTATTCCTCCTTCTAGATAATCTAACAACAGAAACAGCACGTTAGACTGGAACTGGATTCAGGAACAGACCGAAACTCCCACCAAAGCAGCCCACGTGCGGGTCCCTGACTGAAACGCATCGAGCACAAAGAGCACGTCTACATCCGTATTTGTAAGGTGGGACAGCGCGCTGCCCCGCCGTGGGGCTGTGCCCAGAGCTCTGCCCCGCAGAAACGGCAACACGCGGGGAGACAAAGCCAAACCGCGTAGAAGGGGCCCCTCCGAGAGCTCGGTACCCGCAGAGCTGCGGAGAGCGGCTACGGCAGGGAGCAACACACGCCATCCCTGCGGAGCGAGGGAGACGGCGAGAGAAAGAAGAACCGCAAAGCGGTAAAACAGAACCGAGCGACAGCGCGTTCCCTGGGAGCCGCGGTGCCGTAACGCGGCCAGGAGCTCCGGGACAAAGCGTCCCACCGGGCCTTTAACCCGAGGCCGCCGGCGGGAGCAGGGTATCTTCGCGCGGCCTTTTTCGAGCGATTTTCCCGGCCTCCCGCGGCCCCCCCGCCGCTGAGGGAGCCTCCAGCCCGGCCGCCCCCTCCCGGCTCCCCCCGGCCCACCTCTTCCTGCCCAGCGCCTGGCTCTCCTCCTGCAGGGCGGAAAAACGCTTCCTCCGCTGCCGGTTCTTCTGCGACGGCGTCTTGGGCATCAGCTCCGGCTCGTCGCTGTACTGGCTGCGAGGGGAGAGGCGGGGGTCAGCGCGGGGGGCGGCCGGTAACGGCCCGCAAGGGGGCGGCGGAGGGGTGCGGGTACCTGCCGAACATCCTGGCCGCCTCCTCGCCGATCTCCCGCAGCCATAGCAGGTCGGTGTCGTCCACTCGCTGCAGAAACTCCGCCAGCCGCTTCCTGCACAGCGCGGGCAGCCGCGCCGGGCCCTCCGCCATCATCGCCGCCACAGTACCAACCGCCCGCCTCGAATTCAAACCTACCGCCCGCCCCGTGGCGTCATCACCGCGCCGGCCTATCACCGCCGCGCCGCGCCCCGGGCCGAGCTCCCCATTGGCTACGAGACGGCACGGGAGCGCTCAAAAACAGACTCCTCTCTGCTCCCCCGTCTCTGTGCTCCTGGAGGACTCAGCTTGGAAGGCGGGGCCTGGCGGGTAAGGCAAATAGCCTGCGGGGCTTTAACGGCAGGGCAGTGATGGACGTGAGCTGTGGCCAATAAGAGACTCCGCCTCTGGGGGAGCGCGCTGTGATTGGTGAAGGGAGGGATGATCTCGGGGCGGGAGAGGGAAGCCGTGCTCGTGAAGGTGCGGTAGAGCCAGGCGAGGCCTCGGTCCGAGCGGCGGCCGGGTCCGGTGGCGGTGAAGTGGGACTGGGCCCCGCGGGGCGGCTCCACCTCAGGGGAAGGTGGGCAGAGGGACTCGGGGTCTCTTAGGGCCCAAGCTCCTGGTTCGTGCCTCCCTGGGGTGCGGTGTAGAGCCCCAGCCCTTACGCCCCGCGCTGAGGCGGGAGTGGGCCTGGCGCCTCCTCTCCCGCCCCTGGGCCGTCCCCGGGTCCCTGCGAGCCTTCGCCTCCCCCTCTGTGTTTCAGGCATGGCCATGGCAGAGGCTGGCGGCCCCACGCAGCTGCTGGAGATGTGTGGGCAGAGGCTCTCCCGGTTCCTCCAGGACGCCGAGCACAAGCGCTTGGCCTGGCTGCGGGAGGTGGAGGAGCAGGGCATGCGGCTGCTGGATGGGTAGGGGCTACGCTCAAGGGGCACCTCTCCGTCCCCTGGGGAGCTCCCGGCCCCGGTGAGCACGAGGCTGGGTGTGCTCCCGGCTGCTGGTGGGCAGCCCTGCCCTAAGGCTGGGTGGGCGTTGGGCTTTACAGCTGAGAACTCTGGTTTAGCAAAGCTGTGTGTCCAGCAGCTGGGCTTGGGCCCTGGTGCCAGCTGGCTGGTACATTTCATTCCGTGTGTTTCTTGCCCAAAACTCATCTTTATCAATGAGTGACCCTTATATGTGGATAGTGTTGTTTTAGGCAGTGGGGGCAGCAGCCTGTCTTCTGTCCTTGTGTACTCAACAGCAACTTTGGGGCTGAACCGGAATTAATGCCTAAAACACCATCGCAGAGGAGGCGTCCCAAGAAGAGGCGATCCTCCTGCCTGAAAGATGAAAATAAGGAGCCAAACAGGAGGAGGTGGGTGAGTCGGTTTGCTCTGGCTCTGCCGCATGGCGTTTAGGGGTGAAACAAAGTAGTAACTGCTTCTACATACCCAAGAACATAAAATACCCGCTTTATTCTCTGAGTTAGCAAATACATTTAAAAGGGCAGTTCAAGATTAGGATTTTGATTCTCATAAAAGTTTGCGATAGACTTGGCTGCTTTCCTTTAATTTTTGCTTTTTCTCTTTTCTGTTTAGAAAAAAAGATTAATAAGTGTTTTATTTTCTTGTCTGTTTAGGTTTGAGTTTTGTCAGATTTGACTTTGTTTCAGCATGATTTTTGACCTGAGGTTGCTACTGGTTGTTTCTTCCTTGAACCTTTGTGCCGGTGCCTGAGAGAACCTGACAGTGGCACTGGCTGCTCGCGAGGTGTGGAAGCGGCACGTCCACAGCTGTTCTCTGAGCTGGCAGGCAGAAGGGCTCAGAGGCTCAAGTGGTGACACCGAAGTAGAAACTTCAAGTGATTTGCTTAGAACCAGCCCTGCTTGAGGTTTTTAATACCAGTCCTAAGTAGGCAACAGTTGCCTGCAAACAAATGCTGAGGCAGGATGGTGTAGGGCATGATTTAATTGTGTGTGTTGTCAGGGATGGCTGTGATGCTAATTAACTTCGTGGATGCCACTGCTGTGTGGTGGCTGGCTCTGTATCTGCCCTGTCTCGTGGTCAGTGGCAGGTGGCTGCCCTTCCAAGAGGTGTCTGCTGCGAGCCCAGGGTTGGCACGCTGACGGTGCTGCAGTGTCACCCAAACTTTGTCACTGGGCTTGCAGTGGCAAGCTGTTTATGCGTTAAGGCACTTAAATGTTGATAACTGTGGTGAAAAACCCACAGAAGTTGGACAGGAAGAGCTAGAACTAAAAGGCTGTCAGAAAGCAGACATGGAGGATGCAGAGAGCAGCAAGAATAGCAAGGGAGCGTGGGAAGTTCGTGTGTGTGTGTGGTAAAGGAGGGCAGGAGAAGAAAATACTGCAGATCTAAACAGGGAGAGCTCTGAAGACATTCTGTTAGTTTTCAGGTAGCAGCTGGGTTGCCCCCTGAAGAAGATGAGCCTTGTGTGTATTTTTCTGTGTTTAGACTTCATTTTGAGAAGGATCTGCTGATGCGACAAAACGCCGGGGCGGGCGGGGGGTCACTCCTCAACAGGAAGTTCATGCTGTGGTTCAGCACGTTGTGCTCCATCCTGCAGGGTCAGGCCATTGTTGTTTTCCTCGCTCTTGTTTTTCTCAGTATGTATTTAAAAACCCATTTCTTAGTGTATTGTTAGTTACACATTTCCTAATTAGTAGTTGCTTTTTGCTAATTCCAGCAAAATGTCCCTCTTCTTGCTGGAGGTCAGAATGAGGAGTTGGGAGGAGGAGGCTGGAAGGAGGGGAGAAGTTACCGGTGTGAACACTGGCAGTGGGACAGGTCCCTGCTCGCTGCTGGTTGTGCACTGGGGGCTGTCCAACCTCCTTACACCGCGGTGGTGTTTCTCAGCTGCCTTCTCGAGCTGTTGTACGCTTCCACATCAGCTCTCCTTTTGGTCTTTGTCTCCAGTCCCCACCCTTTTCCTGGCTCCTCTGGGTCACTCTGGTGTGGGAAGCTGTCTTTGTCCGGGCAGCAGAGTTGTCCTTTGGCTTTGGATTTGTGCACCTACCCAGTCTCCTTGACTTGTTGGTCAAGTATGTGGCTCCAGCCTCTCGTTACCTGATGGAACCAAGAGGGTTTCACTGCTGAGGTTCCCCAAGGCTCTGCTTAGCTGGTCAGGTTTAACAATAGAGAGACAATAGAGCTGGAGACGGCTACTGTACCTGATACATTTTCTCTTAAATAGCAGTAACTCAGAGAATTCCCAAGTCCTGACTGCACAGATGTGGTTTGAGTTGCCTTCCTCAAGATTGCACTGTCGGGTACCATGTGTATCCCAGCCTGTTCTTAAACTCTGCGTGCAGAGCCATGGATGTTCTCTCAGCACCCGGGTCCCTGCCTCCCCAGCACTGGAATGTGCTTTATACCGAGCAGCCTGCCCCAGAGCAGCAGAGCCTTCTGCTTCTGGCTGGGATCTTGTAGATCTCCACAGGGGAGACTTCCACAGGGAGCTGATCGTGAGAGACTGTGGTATCTCTGACCCCAAATCCCTCCCGTTGTGGATTTGCTCAAGGCCAACATAGCGGAGTTGGCAGTACCAGTATGACTTTGCTGTCCCCTGGTGTCACCCCACCTGGGGCTGTGGGTTACAAAGAGCGAGGAGTGCCCTGGTGCCTTGGCTGCTGCTGTCTCCAACGATACAACCTTTAATTGTGAGTCACCCAGCGCCCGGGCTGGCAGCTGGGGTGGCTGCAGGGAGGGTGTGTGCCCTGCTTCCCTGCCTCTGGTGTTGAGTGGTAGCGTCCAGCAAAAAAACACCTTGCGGGCAGCAGAGAGCAGTAAGCAGCAATTTCTAAATTGTTCCAGCTAAATCTGCTGGAGCACATCTGCGGGCTCTCAGGCTTCAGCTCCCGCATTTCACCAGCAATGAGAGATGGGTTGCGAGGGGGAATGGTGGAGGGAAGAGCTCTGCAGGTTCACTCAAAACTTGTCTGCTTTTTTTTTCTCTAAAAATCATTTGGGAGCAGGAGGCTTCTTCATTGCTTCATGTAAAATTGTTTTTATTTAAGGTTGTCCAGAAGGAGGAGCGGTGTCATGCCAGTGTCTTCCAAGCTGAGCTCCCAAAAGTGCCCCAGCAAAGACCAGCCCCGGAGCCTCAGCTGCCCAGGGGAAGAGGTGTCCGTGCCCGAGCCTGCAGTGGGGTCTCAGGCCAGCGTTGAAACTCACCCCCTGGAACCAACTGGAAAATGGCCAGCAGAAGCTCCCATGGCAAAGAAGGATTGTGGGGACAGCCCGCAGAGCCCCGATGGCAGGGATGCAGCCTGTCGGGCTGCTAAGGGGCAGCAGTTACCTGAGGGGGATGTGACCACTGAGCCTCATGGTGTGTCTTCCATCCCTGCAGTCCCCGGTGGCCAGGCAGATGGGGAGGAGGCCCCCAAGAGAGGAGCAAGTACCTCCACTCCCAAGGCTGCTAGAAATGGAGATCCTGCCATGCTCCAAGGAGATCTGTCTCCTCAAGGTCTCAAAATAGTGCTTTTCCAGGACTCTGACAACAAAACGACTAAAGCGAAATCCAAAACGCGCCGTTGCTCAGGACGCCAGAGCTCGGTGGGTGGCCCCAGCAAGAGCCATCGGACCTCCTTGGTACAAAAATACTCACTGGCTGGCAAAAGAGAGAGCATGATCCGGAGGTCGATCAGCAGGGCCATCTCAAAGAAAGCAGCATCGCGAGAATCATCCTCTGCCTCCAGCAGAGTGAGCTGTAAGTTCCCTTCAGTTGCCGAGTGAATTCGTTTGGCTAAATCAGCTTCTCAGCTTTGTGGGGAGTAATCAGCTCTGGAGCTGCTCATCCCCATTAGCTCTGGCTCCTCTCGGCCTCCTGGTCAACAGGCCTCATGGCTTCCACCCGATTGGGGTGCGATCGTGGGGTCCTTGTCTGCTGATGGACCATGTCTCGGGCCGTGTTCTGCTGCAGGTGAAGGAAGTGTCTGCGGGGGCATGGGCACAGGGGCTGGAGGGGGGGTCACACGGGCTGTGGGTGGCAGAAAAACCAAGAGTGAAAGGGGAAAGGTGGCCTGGCTGGTCAGAAGAGACTGTTGCCTTCCCTGGGGAGGGCTTTAGTTTGTGTGTCTTCTGCCAACTCTCAAAAAAATCTATAGGAACTGAATGTCTCCACCCCTGAAATTGGCAGAGGAGTTGAAACGCTTTCTGGGTGAAGGTAGGAGAGTGGATGGACTGAGAACCCGACAGCACAGTCAGTGGAGGAAACAGGATTCAGAAATCCAGGCTATTCCTGGTAGCGCTAAACTCGTGTCCTCTGCTCCCACTGCTCCTGGGAAGGTTTTGCTGTTTGGACTTTCTGAAGTCATTGCTTCTGAAGTCAGATTGGCTTCTAATAAAGTGCTGAGGCCTTTGGTATTTAGTTTTGTCAGCTTTGAGTCACACTGTACTTAGGCATTTGTTATAACACTTCCAGCTAAGTGGTGTTATGAGGGGAATGAAATCAGCCTAAATCCACCAAATCTCTGCTTAAAACCATGTAGGGAGGCAGGAGCTGAAGCCGCTTGACGGGGAAAGGCAGTCTCTGACACAGGCAGGAGCGTGTTTGTGCAGCTGGAGCCGTCTGCAGGCAGAGGAGCTGCTGCTTCCCAGCCCACACCAGTTTGTCAGTGACACTCGAGGGCGGTGGCGGTGCTGGTGTGGAAAGCTGGGATGAGCAATCGGCGTGTTCCCTGGCAGGGGAGCCTGCAGGGACCTGAGCTCCACCACGCACACGGGCCTGCTCTTGGGAAGCCTCGGCATGAAATCCCCAGGCTTAGTGTTTGTTCTTCTCCCCCAGGTCAAAGCTCCCTGGAGGTGTTTGTAGAAGAAGATGGGACCAGCAGTGTGAGGTGAGGCTACCACATAAAGCAGGGGGAAGAAAGCAAAAAAGCAGAGAAAACCCTGCAGAGCAGCTATATGGGTTGCTTCTGTATTACAGATCTAGGCCTAGTTTTGTAACAGACAGTTGAGGTGATGTTGTCACCTGGGGCTGGTTGATACCCAAAGTTTGTGCTTCCCTTTCCGAAGCATGTCCAGAGCAGGGTGAGGGTGGGCTCCAGCCTGTGCCGTGGGGCTGGAGAGGCTGCCAGCCGCCCCTCTGCTGGGTGTGGGCCAGCATCCTGGGGGTTATGTCCTGGGATTCTTGGCTGTTGCCAGTCTCCCAGTGCCTGGTGGTGGGTTCAGCTAGGCTCCGAGCCAAGAGCCGGGCAGGTAAGGCTCAGCCTAAGGCTCCTGGAGCCTCCTTTTTACCTGCCACATGGTAGTTCTGTGGCAGAGGACAAGGCTGGTCAGTGATGCAACAGAACAGCCCCTTGAAAGAATTTGCAGGTCCTGCTCTGCGTGGCCTGGCTGAAACATCCAGGCCTGTGCTCTGGATGTGCTTAGATTTATCTGTGCTTTCTTTGGGGTCCCACGTGCAGGCTCCACCATACTTTAATCACCTGTGACTAGTCCTTTGGAGAGTTGACATAATTAAAATAGCTGTTCTTTTACAGACCCAGCCTGGAACTGAACCCCCTAAGCGAAAAGGTAAGTTCTAAGGAACAACCTACAAACTATCTATCTGGACATCATCTTGCCTGAGTTGATGCCTTTGGCTGAGTGTTGCCACTGGCAGTGGGGAGCATGGCCGAGGATCGTTCTGTCACCTCCCTTTAAGCTCAGCTGGGTTGGCCAGAGCTGCCCCTGCAGCCGGTTGTGCTCTGGCTCCTGGTGGGCAGAGACATTTTCTGCCTTGATGAGGCCTCTTCAGGATGGAGTGTTTGGAGGTGCTTGGCCACATTCCCGGGCATCAGCCAGCTTCTGCCTGTCAGCTGGGCATAGTAATTGAGTCTCTGGTGCGTGCCTGGTCTGAGCTGCAGAAATCAGGAGGGCAGTTCAAGCTAAAGTGCATTTCTTGGCCACTGAGGCTGTGCCTGCAACCTCTGCTTCCCCTCCTGTGGGAATAGTGGTGCTTGCAGTGCCCAACGATCCTGCGACCTGAAATGCTCTGCAGGGACCTGTCCTTCAGGACTGGAATACCTGTAGCTTGAAAATTGGTGTCTCCAAGGTGTGCAGAAGCTGCCTGTCATTCTTAAAGCACTTTGACTTTGGAGTCCAGGTTCGGTAAAGCTTCTGTGCTGGCTGAGAGGTGCTGGGCAGCTGTCCCTCCTGCAGAGGCTGGTGTCTGAGCAGCCCCCTCTTACTCAAAGAAGATGCTCAGTGTCCGTGCAGCACAGCTCTGGTTGAGGGATAGACAGGCCCTGGCCTGGCAGCTGGAAGTGATGGGCCCTTTCAGGGCAGCAGGTCCATGGTAGTCTTGTTCTTGGAGCAATTGTGCAAAGGGAATGTTTCCTTTTCCTGCAGACTGCTGAAGACATCCCCGATTCAAGCAAAAGTGCACAAGTTTCCAGGCCCCCTGCACAGCACTTGTCTCCTCCTGAGCAGCAGGCAGGGAAGGATGGAGGTAACTTCAAGTTGATCTTGCTTTTCTCACATGAAAAAACACACAGACCAGAGAGTCAACATGAGGGTTTGTGGAAAGTCTGAGACTTGTGCTGAAACAAAACCACCTCTGACCAGGCAAGGCAACTTTTCAAGTAAATTTTGATCTCCTGAAGAGGTAAGACATGGAATTAGATAAGCAAGGACAACTTCTAAATGTGTCCAGGCCTCAAGAGAAATGCAGTACTGCTCAGCTTCAGGCTGCAGAGTGAGTCAGTGGGGACACTTTAAAAGGACATTGTTCTTAGACCTGGAGTCTTCCACGCAGGTTAATGGTCTGTTCAAGTGCCTTGACATGTCTTTTCTCTGGATTCAGTTATGTGAGGATTTACACGTTTATTTACTGTGCCTCAAAGCAAGGAGAGGGAGAGATTCAGGTTTTGTGTGTATCCATGGTGGGAGCCCTGGGATCAGGGAAGCAGCTGGAGCTGGAGACCTTCTGGTGAGGCTGGTTGTGCCTTTGCAGAAGGGTCTGTACTGGGTGCGTGCTGTGGTGTGCACACACAACCCTGATACTCCAGGGACCCATCCAGGCCTGTGGGGCTCTGAGCACAGGAGAGCTGAGAGCAGACCTGGAGCCCTGCGGTGTGTGTGGTGCTAACTGCAGGTCTCTTGGCAGGAAGCTGTGTGAATCCAACCAGTGAAGCCCAGAACAAGAACCAGGAGCAACCCCGCTGTGCCGAGTCCCAGCAGAATCCCTCACGCATCTGGTATGAGACATTTGCAAGGAGGAGGAATGAGCCAGTGGTCTGGAAGGACTTGGGCCTAGTCTTTTAAGTAACTCATTTAATAAGCTTTCGGTGTTTGTTCCCCCCCACCCCACCTTCCAATGTAGTTTTGAAATCTTTGGCCGAATCTGGTCTTCTGGGAGTTCCTCATGACTCCTTGAGCCTTGTTTGGGTCTGTGAAGCAGACACAGGAGTTCATGCCCAGACCAGCAAAGGTGACTGAGCCAGCAGGGTTAACTCAGGGCTCGGGCATGGCTCTGAGTGGCTCGTAAAGGGGTGGTGCAGGAGAGGTTTCAGAAGGCAACGTGAGTAGGTGACTGACCCATTTATTTTTATCTTGTGCAAGTGTCTGGAATACCTGACTTGTTTCCTCACTGCCTGTGTTACTGGTGTTTCACGTGAGATTTCAGCCACTTTTAGCTTTGCCCTCAAGTCCCCTGCCCTGGCTTTGCTGGGGTGAATTTGCCATGGGTAGTGGTTGGGGAGTAGCAGTAGCCCCTCTCCTCACCTGAGCACCGTGTGATGGGTCAGGATCTGCAGCCTTCCTCAGGGCTGCTGCTGGATCGGGCCCTGATCGTGCAGTGAAGCTGCCCCCTCTGACTTTCCCTGGAATTAGGGAGTGCCAGTGAAGTAGTTTGTGACACAGGTAAATCTGTGAGCATCTGAAGTATTTATAAAGCCCGTGAACCCTGCCGGTGAGGCAGCTGGGCTGGTTAGCTGCTGACACACAGGGGGTGTCTGTCTCCTGCTGTTGACACCCAACAGAACCAGGACTTCTCGCTGGCTGGGATTTGGGCCATCCCCTGCCTCTCCCATCCTCATTCCCCATGAGATGGAGTGCCTGCCACGGGGCTGGCCCAGCTCACAGTGGGGCATGGCCTCTGGGGGCAGCGAGCGGGCAGAGGGGAGTGTGTAACAGCAAGTAAATGCTTCTGGCAAGATCGGGGAGTGTCAATGCTAATTGCTAATTGCTCTTGCTAATGCTGTCAGGACACGGACCTATAAACAAGCGATGGGCACTATATGGAATGGGCAGCAGCAGGGGGGTCAGACCCTTTCCCCTTTGGACGACAAGCACAAGAGTTCAGCAAACCAGGCTCCAGCTTCCTCCTCTCCAGCTAGCAGGGTGAGTGGGTGCCATGGTCCTTCGCCCCCCTCTCCCTTCCAGCAGTGCATCCACCAGTACTTCCAGCAATACATCTTTTCCTCTTAGGTTGTGAGACCACTGAAGAACTTCCTGCAGGCTGTGCAGCGAAACCAGCTGCTCACAAGCCCGGGACCCACAGGACGTGGGGGCATCATCAAAAACTTCATCAAACACAACACTCCCACCCGACCCAACCTTAAGGTGCGTCAGTCCCACCTTCCCTTGCAGGGCTGGAGGAGGGGATTGAGTTTGGGGAGCGGAAGGAGGGACTGCTTGCTTGGAAAAGTGTAAATGTATTACTAATTCTGTCTGCTGCCATGGATCAGTGCAGGTCCTCGCAGCAAACTGGCCTCAATTCTACTTCAGCCTCCCCAGGGAAGGGAGACTGGCTGGTGTTGCCTTGCACAGTCTGTACACACATGTTGTTACTGGCCGGGGGTCTTTACCACCGGTCCTCAAACCTTCCTGGTACAAAGGGAAGCCTCAGCTGCTCTATCTGTAGCCAGAAGAGACATTTTATATTCTGGGACTGTTGAACCACAGGAAAGTAGGGAGCTTTTCCCTTTGCTGTGGGAATGTGACCTTGTGTCTGGCAAAGCTGGTGGCTGTGGGGCTGAAAGGCAGAGTGGGGTCAGGCACTGGGCTCTACCACACTCTGGTAAGGAGCCACAGCTGAGAACGGGGTGTGTGTGCTGTGAAGGGGGTTCCAGTGTTACTTCCAAACCCTCAATCATTTCTCTTTGTCTCTTCTCTACAGGGAGACTTTGTTGTAAGTAATGACACCCTTAGCAGTGGGGGCTGGAAGGTTCTAGCAGCCGTGCCTCTTGCCTCACTGACAGCTCTCTCCCCTCACTGCCGTCCACGCAGCTCGCTGGCCAGATGAGTAAACTGGCCCCACCAGTGGTGAGGTGGCAGGATCTCTTTGCAGGTGTGTTCTGCTGGGGCTGGGAAATGCTGGGAATGCTTTTTGTCTCCAAGCAAGATGACTTGCACAGTGCCCCTTCTCCCCCTTCTCCCCACTGCTGGTGTGGGTGACAGGCACAGCGCGTGTGTTGCAGGTGGTCACCTACAGCAGGAGTGTGCCGTTCCTTTCCTAAACACACTCCCTGCTGAAGGATGGAGGTGTTTCCCTCCTATCCCCGTGTCTCTTCTGCTCTTATTAGTTGAATAAGTGCTTTTGCTAAACCCGTGTTGTTTCTTTGCTACTCTTCCATTCCCCTCTCAGTCTGGGGGTCCCTGTGACTCTGCCAGTGAGTCCTTTACAGGCTGCCTCACCTCTGGCTGCTGGGGCAGAAACAGGCCATTGGCACAGTCTGCATTCATCTCCCCTCAGGAGAAGGAGCGGCAGAGGCTGGAAAGCCTCAGGAAGAAGCAGGAGGCTGAGGAACAGAGGAGGAAGAAAGTGGAGGAGGAGAAGAGACGGCGTCAGGCAGAAATGAAGCAGTGAGTTGGCTCCTTGACCTCCTGCTCCTCCCTGCTCCAACATGGAGCTGCCTTGGGGGCCCATCCCTGCCCGGCGGCCAGCGCTGCTGCCCTGTGGCACCCCGGGCACTGCTGGCCATGGCTTGCTGCAGCGAGGGCTGCACTGGTGCAAAGCCCCCAATAATGTCTGAGTTTACTGCAGAGGTGAGCTGAGCCCAGGCTTGGCCAAAGCAAGTCAAGCAGCGTCACTGTTTTCCCCAGTTACCCCAGCAAGTCCCCATTCCCCCATCACCTTCTGTACAAGAGTGTACAAAGCTGACCAGCTCCTCTCCCCCACACACAGGAAGAGGGAAGAGCGTCTGAGGAAGGCACTGCAGGCTCGGGAGCGGGTGGAGCAAATGGAAGAGGAGAAGAAAAAGCGGATGGAGCAGAAGATCTTGCAGAATGATGATAAGGTAAGAAGGCTGACCAGGCCGTGGACTGCTCGGTGCAGTGACATTGCCTCCCTGAGCTGTGAGACCAAAAGGGTGCAAACAGGCCACTGGCACAAGCCCAGGGTTGCTGCTGGTGGTGACTAATCAGGTGGTGGGTATGTCTGCATCAGAGACAGTGGAATTCTCTGTCGAGCAAGAGGAGGCTTTTGTTCTCCACACCTCTGCAGTGGTGCTAAACGTTCCTGTTCTGACATGCAGTGTTCATGGTGCTCTGCGCTCATGGAATGTGGCAGCATCCCTTGTGTGTGCAGAGGCCTGAGATGAGACACCCTTACCCAGCCCGCGGTGCGCTGGGCGAGCTCTGTGCACTGACCTGCACACACAACAAAGCCGTGGCATTCACAGGGGGTTGCAAAGAACACAGTGGGAGAGAAGAGCTGCCGGGCACACAGGGGATGCTTCTGGCTGGTAGATGGGGCTGTGTGTGCATTTGTATCGTGTTTGTGTGTTAAAGCCCTGTCTGCCCTCTCTTGAGGACGGGTTGAAGATGAAGAGCACACCAGGATGGGCTGCTGATGGCTGTGTACAGACAGCGTTGCTGCTTCCCTACAGCCCTGCAGGCTCTGTGGGGCTGGGGGAGGCTGTGCCTGCCTGACCCACAGTCACAGCAGCCTTTGGAAAGGCTCAGCCTTAGAAAACATAGGAATGTGCTCCTTCCAGCCTTTCCCAAAGCCTGAGTGGCTAAAAGCACCCCCAGCCCAGGCTGGTCTGCAGAGGTGCTGGTGCTCCTGCTGGGACAGAGCTGGGGTGAAGGAGCTGTCTCTGCCCCCAGCTTTTACAGCCCAGTCTGTGCTGCAGCTCAGGCAGCAGCAGCACCACAGGCAGAGCCTAACCCAGGTGCTACATTCCCTTGTTCTGCAGAGTCACAAGAGGGAGTCATGGGTTTTGGGGCCATGTAACAGTCTCTATTCTCATTTCTCCTGTCACCCAGGGACTGGGTGTCTGCACATGGCCTCTAAGTGGTGGACTTGTGCTGGAGGCTGGTGCTAAATCCAGTGCCCATGTGCTGCTTGCCGGGTGGTGGGTTCTCAGTCTCATTAGATCCCAGAATATCACAGAATTCCAAAGCCTTCCTCGTCCTCCCCTTGGACGAGGCTGCGGGGTGTCCTCAGGGCAGTGGAGCAGACACTGTGGCTTTCCCAGGTGCGCCTGTCCCAGGGGCGGGAGGAGAAGGGGGCAGAGGAGCGGAGCAGGAGGAAGCTGCTGAGGAAGCCTGGGGAAGCTGACACGTGGAAGCAGAAGGCACCGAGGGCGGTAAGAGCAGCTCTGGGCCCCTCCTGCATGTGGAGAAGGAAGGGGGTAGCAGGGAACTGGTGGGATGGGCACCGGTTACTGCCCCTCCAGCTGCAGGGATTTCGGGGTCCCTGTGCAGGTTTTCTGTTCAGTTGATGTTGGGCTTGAACACAAAGGTAGCTGTGGGGACAGGGGGCAGCTGCTGGGCGGGCCGTGGGAGGTAAAAATGAGATAGAACATGCACAGGTTGTCTCAAAGCGTTTGCTTCATGTCCTCCCATCTTTCCCCATGTGACTGGAGGGTTACAGGTGTCTTCTTCTGTCTTCTGCAGGAGGAAGATGAATTTGAGCAGCAAGGACCACTGCAGAAAAGGAGAGAGGATGAAATGAAAGAAAAAGGAAATAAAGTCTTGGAACTGAGAAACCTTGTGGAGCAGCAGCAGGTGGAACAAGCAAAGGAGAGGTATCAGCTGGGATCTGCCCTGGAGGAGGGGAGCAGGCAGCAGGCATGGTGAAGCAGTAAATATATATGTGTATTGCTGGAACTGGGAGGTTGATGGGACTGTCAGGCTGTCCCCAAGGTCTGGGGTGCTCGGGGGAGGGTGGACATGCGTTTCTCTGTAGCTAAATCCTAGGGTTTTTTCCCCCAGGGATCACAAACTGCGTGGGAAAGAGAAGGCCCCCAAGCCAGAGCTGGAGTCAGCAGTGTTTGCTGAGGAAAACATAAAGGTGGGGAGTTAGGTGTCTTGAACAACTTCTGTGTGTAGGATACACTGACTGACTTGAACATCAGACTCATTTATCGAGTGCTGTGTTACTGTTTAAGGTTGTAACCCTCACTATTAAGTTATTTAGAGAAACAAATGTAATGAAAGCGATGAGGAGCCAAACGTGTTACTGTAAGGAGTTGGGGTGTGTGTCAGAATAAGCCGGCCCCGTCACAGGGTGGGTGACAGCCATACAATGGTGCTTGGAAGAACACCTCCAAGTGGCATTCGCTGACAGTTAAATGCATATGGAAATTAGCAAGTGTGTGAGCCAATGCAGGCAGGACACAGGAACAACCACAAAACCATGGATTAAGGGCAAAGAACCAATTTAATCTCAATACCTCATGGCTCAGGGAACCTCTGAAGCAGCACCTGGGCAGAGGCAGGCAAGCAGGGGCCGCAGGCACCGCAGAGCGAGTGTCCTTGTTAGCCAGGGAGTGAGGGAGCTCCCACTTGCTGCTTGGGGCTGTATTTCCAGGATTCCAGCAGGCGGAGTTTTCTGCTGGGCTTTGATCTCTTCAGCAGCAGGGCAGGAATCTCAGGTGTGTTTGATAAGGTACCCCTGAGTCCATCCCAGGCCTGTGTTACTTAAGTGCAGATGTTCTACTTGTTGAGCACACAAAACTAAGCAATAATTAGTGTGATATGTGTTTTCCAGCACCCCACATGGGAGTCACTTGAGGGTATTTACAGTCGTCCTCACCAATCTTCCCTTACTTTCCCACAGCAAGACATCTATTTTTTTTTTTTGTGCTACATTCACTCCCTGTATTTGGAGGATGCCGTCCCCGTCACAAACTTCAGGTGTCATATGGCTTCATGTAACATCATTTGCATTTATACAAAGAATGTTATGGCTTAAAGTCAAGGCTGTTTGTCTCAAGATATCACAGTAACGTTTTCTTTTCACTCTCTTAACATCACTCTTTCTTCTGCCTTCTTCATTACCAAAAAAATCAACCCCCCAAATGCTGCTCCTCCTAAGGATAAATCCCTCCTCCTGTATTTGCTGTTGCTGCTCTTACTCACCGGGTCTGTGACATTCAAGCTCCTACTTGTGCTATATAATTTTAATGAAGGTCTGAATTCTTCGTGTGTTGCCAGCAGCTGGGCTGGAGGAGCCCCAGCAAAGCTCCTGCAGACAAGAGAGAAGCTGGATGTAATGGAAAGTGCCTGCAGCTCCTGCCCCCCTGTTCGCTCTTCCCTACGGAGCAGTGCGGGGGGAGAGACTCCTGGTAAAGTGGTTTGGGTTGAAAAGGAGTTTAAGCAGTGACTTTTTTTTCTCTTTATTAGGAGGCAGAGAACACAAAGGAGGTGCCTGGGCAGGAGAAGAGAGCCAAGCCACCAGAACCCATTGCTGTGGCTGCTGCTCATCCCTGGCTCAAAGTGGCGAAGGTGAGCGTGAGCTCCAGAGGCTTTGTCAATTGGGATCTGGGCAGAGACAGGAGAAGCTTCATCTTTGAGTCTTGGGTTTGGGTTTTTTCTGCAGAAGACGACACAGAGGGACTGAGGATTTTTATTTTTATTTTTCCAAGGAACCCAGACAAATATGGCTCAGTTCCAGAGATAATCTGGTTGTTTTGCTTGGGTGAACATGAATGAAGAATAATGTAATTCTTGTGTCTTAACAGGAGGACGATGGTCTGCAAAAGCCCCAGCAGCAGCTGAGAGAGGAGAAAAAAAACAAGCAACCAGAAGCATTGAGTGGTGCCTCTGGCACATGGCTGAGCAAGACGGTGAAGGTGAGTCCTGCTTCCAGCAGAGCCCTCGAATAAAACCAGTCTGTGTCTCATCAGTCAGTGTTCTCTCGGCAGAGAGGCTGGGGATGGCCACGGGATGGCAGCACGCCCTGAGGCGATGAGCCTGCAGCACCCCCATCCCGGGGGCTCCAGGGCCCCTTGGAGCTGCTCCTGCTCAGACCTGGGAACCCCAGGGGTGGGGGAAAAGCTGCTCAGACAGACCCGGGCACTAACTCTGCCCACAGACGCTCCGCTCCTGGGGCTGAGCAGCTCCTCTTCCTGCCAGACCCCTCCGTGCTGAGGCTGGTGTCAGAGCCCCAGGGAGCAGAAACCAGCTCTGCCAGAAGACGTGGAAGGGTTTCAGTGCCAGAGCCATGTGTGCGAATGCCAAGCGCTTAGACACACATGGTGTGTCTTTCTAGGGCTTTTCTACAAAAAACAGGAGGGAGAAAGGGTTAAAAGTAGTTATAAGGTCACTGAGCACAGTGAGGGATGTATTTGTACAGACGTGTGTACACTCCTACGTTCCCTCCATGCGGAGAGCCCTGCAGAGCGAGGGCTCCTTCCCGGTGTGTTCTCTGGTCAGCACCTCTGGCTATGACTGTCAGGTCTTCTCCTCCCTGCTCCTCACCACAGAGCCAGGAGGTGGCCCCAAGCCCTCGCCCGTGGCTTTGTTCCTGGCTTTGTTCCTGGCCAGGTTCTGGCATTTGGAGGCTGCAGGGCGGGCAGTGGCCATGTCAGCTCTGCGTTTGCCATCCTGCCACGGGGTACAGCCCCAGCTACAGCTCACTATCAAGACCATGGTTTCATGGCAAAGTTCAGTTAAAATAAAATTAAAAAAAAAAAAAGCAGCCCCCAGCTACAGCTCACTATCGAGACCATGGCTTCATGGCAAAGTTCAGTTAAAATAAAATAAAAAAAAAGCAAAAAGGATTTGAGCACTTTAGATTTTATCAAAAATCAAGCTACCTGTCAAGTAGGAATGTTACAGGTGTCCTGGTGAAGGGGTAGGCCAAGGGCTTCTGGTACACAGCTTCTGGGTTTTACCAAAAATCTAAAGCTACCTGTCAGTAGGAATGTTACAGGTGTCCCGGTTAAGGGGTAGGCCAAGGGCTTCTGGTACACAGGTGACCCTTTGGGCTCTCCTGGTTTTTATTGAACTAGGGGGGAAAAATGAGTGTCAGTGATGCATCAGGTGTCAGCTCTTGTTTCTGGCTGCCTTCCCTGGTCAGTGCAGCTCTGTGCCCAGCGTGAGCCATCAGGAGCTCACCTCCTGGGTCCCTCGCTGCGAGGGGGCTGCCGTGACAGCCTCTGGCTGCAGGACCTGGGCAGGATCCTCTTGTCTGGCTGGTGCCTGATCCCGCTTCCCGTTCTGATCCATGCTCTCTGCTCCCAGAAGCCCATCTCCACACCCTGCTTGGTGCCCCCAAAGGGCACGAAGGAGTCCAGATCCCCGACGGTAAATGAAAATAACTATGGGATGGACCTGAACAGTGACGACTCCACAGATGATGAGAATGACCCTCGGAAGCCTGTCCCTGCCTGGGCTGATGGTAGGTGCCAAGTTGGTTTTGCCTTCTTTTAATCCCTTCCCTGGGGAGCTGGAGCTTTCCAGGTTCACTCGGTGCAATCTCAGCATCCCCCAAGTGCGACCCAGGAGCAAAACCTCATCGGGGCTGGCCCTGAGTGGGGAGGGAGCTGGGGCTGCTGCCCTGCCAGTGCTGTGCTGCTGGAGTTAAACCAGAGTCCTCCCTGTGTCTGGATCCAAGGGTGGGAAGAGGCTGGAGGTAGCACCATCCTCCTGAGAGAAGGAGATGTGAGGGTCTGGGGTACATCTGGGGTGCTGAGTAACTAAAAGCAAACCTGCTGCCAGCCCGGGGATGGGCAAGGGGTTCAAAGCTTTGCCATGAGTGGGAAAACTTAATCCCACTGTGGAGGTCACAGCTTTTCCAGCAGAAGCAGTGTGAGTGTCCTGCAGGTGCTGTGGGAAAGGGCACCCAAAGCTCCCTGGTAAGGAGTCTGCTTCTCCGCTGTGGCTGTTCCTGCAGGGTCCCAGCTCAACCAGGCCGTTGTGTACCAGTACTACCACCCCCTCAACGTTGACCAGATCTTCGGGCTCATTCCCAGCCCCAAGCTGGAGGACATTTTTGGCAAGACCAAGCCTCGGTACTTCAAGCGCACGAGCTCAGCTGTGTGGCATTCCCCACCTGGGACCAAATCCACCTGCGGCCCATCCTGCAACTTCAAAAACTGAGAAATGGCAAAAAATGTGGTTTATGACAAGATGGTGTGTCAGTTGGTGTTTTAGCACACAGTGCATTTACAATTTTAATCTTTTTTTTTTCTTTTGCAAAAATACTGAATAAAACCCTGTTGCAATAAACACTCTGTGAGTGTTTCCCTCCTTTCCCCCACCGCAGTGGGATGGTGCTTCTCGGTGGCGGATTTGAGACTGGGATGTGGTTTCTGCGAGTGGAAATGCAGGTGTTGGAAGGTGCAGGTGTTGAAGGCACGGTGTTGCACCATCGCACATTCCCTCGAACTGCACGCAGGGCCTTACAGAAGGAAGCTGTGAAACCCCTCTGGGAAAGAGCAAATTTCTTAATCAGCCTGAGGGGAGAATGTTTTCAAAACCCACCCTCAGCTTTTTTTGTACATTTACCAATGCTTCTAACCACTAGCAGCTTTGTGGGTGGGCGTGATATGGTGGTGTGGTTTTTCTTTTGTTGGGTTTTTTTGTTGTTGTTTTTTGGGTTGTTTTTTGAGGTGGGACTCGATGATCTCGGAGGTCCCTTCCAACCATGGTGATTCTGTGAATTCTCAGCTTTTTGAGGTTGGACGTGATGATCTCAGAGGTCCCTTCCAACCATGGTGATTCTGTGAATTCTCATGACCAGTTGTTGCTCTGAGCCAGGATCTTTTTCCTGCGATAAGAAAAATCTGCTTGGAGGGTTCAAATGCTGTCTCAGTGTCTTGTCTCCGCTCTCTCCTAATGGAGAAGGGGTTTTGCCTTTCCAGGAGCCGTCGGAGCACACTCCTGCTGCAGCAGGAGGCGGCTCTTTGGGCGCTGTGGCTTGGACAGAGGGTGGTGGGTAAGTGACTTCCTTGGGGCTGTGTTGGCATCGCCCATGAGTGCTCCCTGCCCTGTGCTCCCTGGGCATCTCCTGGCTCCTGCAGCGGCTCCCTGGGGACAGTCACCACACGCTGGGGCAGATCCTGGGACCCCCCTTGTGTCCCTTCCAGCCCCCGGAGGGGCAGCTGGAGCAGCCAGCAGTACTCCAGGAGCCGTTTGGGCAACCAAACCCCGTGACAGCAGCAGTGAGGAAGGTGCTCAATGAGAAGGGAAAGTCCCCAAGGGAAGCCATCTTCCACACTTGCCATAATCACCTTTTCCTTCCTCTTTCTCCAGTTCCCCCTTGGGCTGCACCATCCGGCACAAATGTGAGCACCATGGAGGAGTCTGTCCCGCTGTAGTGACATGATGTGTGGGGCTGGGGTCCCTCCTGCAAGTACAGAGCTATACACCATCTCTACAGGGTCAGAGCTGTGAGCCCACCCCAAGGAGGGGGGTCCATGTCCCCAGCCCTGTCCCCAGTGCCATAAGGTCTCTCTCCCCTTCACCCTCAGGTGCAGGCTGCCCAGAGCCACCACAGAAACATGGTCACGGGCCTGTTCAGAGCCATCTGGTCCTGCTGGCCTATCTTCAGAGAAGCTCTCCAGCTGGCCAGAGTGGTTTTGTGGAGTTTTGCGATGGCCTGG